TGTCCAAAGGGAGGGGTGGGACTGGTCTGTCTCTGGTTGGTTTCAGCTCCCGGTTCGCTATTTCATGAAGGCTTGGCGAGAGACCTCTTCCTAGAGTCCCTGCACCGCTCCTGCTGCGCTGCGCCTCGGAGGCTATCCGCCCTGACGCGGGGGCTGCGTGCAGGCAGCCGACAGTCGCCGAGTCGCGTGGGCAGCGGCTGGCGGGTCTGGACCTCTGCGCTGCGTGGCGGAGATTCACTCGTCTAGGGCAAACTGTCACCTCCAAAAATCCTTCCAATTCCCGGCCGGTCTCTCTTTAGTGGAATTTTGCTAGGAGTTTCTCAGCAGGTTGAATCTAAGCGTATCCATGCGTCTCTCTGACCCGTTGTTGAGGAGGTACTGAGAGCGCTGCCTCCCCACTCGCCGCCATGTTGGATCCCTGAAGGCATTTTAGGTTCTGTAGAGATAGTCCTTCTCATACAAAATCAGCTTGTATTTTATTTAGACACAGGGTCTCACTGAGTTGATTAGCGCCTTGCTGTTGCCGAGGCTTGCTTTCAACTTGTGATCCTCCTGTCTCAGCCTCCTGAGCCTCTGGGATTATAAGCATGGGCCACCCCACCAAGAACATACATTATACATTTCTCCTGAACATTCCCTTTTACTATTGCCTTTATTAAAATTCTGAACTTTGCTTCTCTAGATTTGATCTTTTGCCAGAGTACTAAGATTTATGTTTATAAGAACCTGCAGGAAATTTCCATCTGGATGTGCTGTAGGTATCTCAAACTTAAATGTACCTTTTCCCCTCCTGACCTTCCTGATTTTCCCCCAAATCTCTGCTTCTTTACCTCATTTCATATCTCAATTCAAAGTCCAACCCATCCCCCAAGCCAGAAACCCATGGATTTTAGGCAATGCATATATCCAAAATATGTTTCCTCCTTTCCATTCCCATTTTTACCCTACTGGGTTAAGTAAGCCCTTATTACCTCCTATTTTGGAAGTAACAGGAAAATATCACCAGTCACTGTTCTAAGTCTTGTAATGTTAGTACATTAATATATGCAAGCCCTTGGTACACATCAAATGTTCCAAAGACAACACTCCATAATGAAGTTGCTATTCAGATGTCCATCCTATAGGGTACAAGAAAAAGATGTATAGAAGCATTAGGTGGCTTGTGCAAGGAAAGACAAGTTCTCAGTTAATTTAATAAAATTAATTATTTCAGAGTTACAAGACTGACATAATTTTCTCAATTTAAGTTTTTATAGGTGTTCCACTTCAGGGACAATGGGACAAATAAGAAAACACACCCTACCTACATATCCAAGTCTACTACTTGCTCTCTGTGAGATCTTAATCTCTCTGAGTTGATTTTTCAAATAAAATGAGGAAAAATATATTATCTAAATATTAGCTGATATGTAAATTGTAATAAAGAATGTGAATGGAAATATCACCAAGGTAAAACAAACAAAACAAACCAGGTGTTTCTTACTATACTATCAGCTGCTTCTTAGAAATAAGTGGTGCAGTCTCCTCTTCTAAAATGCATGCACTTCTGTCCTTCTTATCGACATGGCTGCAGATGATTGAATTTTGTGGTATTTCAGGCCTGCATGCAAATGAGTCTCTAATTATCAGCTTGCCTAATTAATGATGTGTCACCATTATACACCACTGTAGGGTTCAGAAATGTTTTAAAATTAACCTGGGAAAAGAGAAGTCTGCTGCCTTCCTCTTCCTCAACTAATAAAGGGGAGGATGATAAGACTTATTTGATAAGTAAATAACATGTGCTTTTGATAACTCCCATTCTTGTATTTTCTCATAAAATCCTAACAACCTTAGACTCTGATACATCTTGGGTATAAAGAGGTTAAGCTTGTGGTAGGACATAATTTTCAATCCAAGAGGTTTAAACAGTTTTCAAAACAATTTCATATGTCATCTCCTTTGATCCTAAACAGCAACTACTAAGTTAGGACACAAAAGATTTTGCCCATTTTATAACTCACGTTCAGAGCAAACATTTGCATTCTCACCAAGTGTAGGGGCTGTAAATTTTACATATTAATAAGAACTATAGTGGTCAGCATAGGTACGACTTGCTGGCTTAAGAGAAATATCACATCTAATTTAATGCATAGTGTTAGAAATGAGGACAGTGGTTACTTTTGTAAATAGAGTACGTCTGGAAAGGGACAGAAGGCAGCTTCTGCAGGCCAGCAATGATCTATTTCTGAACTCATTTTTTTTTTCCAGTAGAAATTTATGGCTATGTATTATGCTACTTCAATGTAATTTCCCCAAAATCTTAACACTTCTTTATTTTATTCTCTGTGCATTACATTACAAAAATGCTTTTTATTATGGGGAAATAATTCAGTTAGCTTCCTTATCTAACAAACCAGATTTTAACATTTTCATATGGCTTACCTAAATGCAGGACTGGGGATATAGCTCAGTGGTAAAGTACTTGCCTAACACACACAAGGTCCTGGGTTCAATCCCCAGCACCACAAAAATAACATAAAATAAAATGTAAAAAAAATTAATAAATACATTTAACATGTTTTTTCCAATTACCCCAGTTTTCCCCCCAAATCATATCTGTCTACCCATTTAGAAACTTATAACCTAATTTGTTCTTAAAAAATTTATTTTGTTTCTTAGGAATTTCTGACTTTATATGAATTCAGCTATCCAGAAAGTTTCTTATAGAATATCCTGTCTACCAAATCCTAAAAAATTCTTATGAACTTCATTTTAGTTGAAAAATGCTTCTTTTAAAAAGCACCTCTCTCCCTAATCGCTCCTTCACCGCCCCCTGACCCCCAGCTTTGCTTTTTCTCTTCTTAGAGAATCCATGGTATTTTTGAGGAGGCCCATCCTTTGCTAGTCAGATGGTTCCTTCTCATTCAGATGAGATTAGTCCAGGCCATACTTGCTATCCTATCAGTTTTACAGAAGCAGCCATGACCATAATTTTCCTCACTGACAATAAACATATCCACACTAGTCACAGCTAACTATCCCCACCTCCTTCCTGGTTATTGGAAGAGTCTCTGCCAAAAAACAGTCATCTTAAGGCAGTCCACATTCAGCAGCATTTATTAAGGAGAATGTAAAAACAGATATTTGGCATCACCAAATTCAAGGAACAAGATCAACCTGTTTACTCCTTGGCAAAGACTTGCCTTCTGATCCTTTGCATCTGATTCAGGGAAGTCTGAAAACTTTTCACTGTGATTAGCTAGGCAAGTGGCAAAATGCTAGTGATCAGTGTTGACAGTTGGATGTGGTTAGAGCCAGACAACTGTTTTTCCCTTTAATCAAGTAAACTTCTTTTTGCAGAAAAGAAGACGTGTCGGGCAGTTTTCTTCATAAGAATCCTAAAAATATATAAATGTTCAGTATCCATGAAACCATGAAAATGGCCAATTAGATATAATAATGTATATATACTATATTTATGTATTACATAAATATTGTATATTTTATATTTTGGCTGATTAAGCCAAAAATTTGTCACTTTTTTACTTAGTCTTTTCTTACTGCTATACTAATTTTTCCATTTCTCTTTCATAGTTTTAAATGATAAAAAAAATTGATTAAAAAAAAAAAACAATGGCATAACTACTGCCATACAGAGTTGCAACTGCTGCTAAAACTAACCTACCTGCTTTGTCTCTGACAAGACCTCTCTAATGGCAGAACACATGTCGTCATCAAGTGCAGCCTAAAATCTATAATCTATACCCGAGTGTAGATTATACACATATGTAGTTTTTAAGCATTTTGGATAAAATAGATACTAACAAAATGTCATGTTTATGTTGATCCATAACTTTCCATGGTAACTTTTATTGGAAATTGTTTTAACAATATAAAATTGATCACTCTCTACTTCCTCAGTGAAAGCAAACTGCTGTATGTTGTATAAAAAGTATTTTATTTCAAAACTGAATGAATAAAAATAGGTTTTTGTAATATTTGTTCTTGTATCATGATTAATTTGTTTTTTAAACTAAAATATGAGTGCTTTTTAACAAATTATCTCAATTTTAAGAACAAAAGATTTTTTTAATAAAACAGACTTAAGAGAAAACCCATCAAATATGTTATTCAAAATGACCCTATAATTCACCAATCTATTTGTAGACAGTTATAAAAAGAGAGCTTATATTTCCCTTACCTGAAATGCTTGGAACTAGAAATGTTTCAGATGTGGGAATTTTTGAGATTTTTTAATATCTGCATGAAAATTACCAGTTAAGCATCCTGAGACTGAGCCTCAGTATCACTCTCAGAAAGTTTCAGATTTTGGAACATTCTGGATCTCAGATTTTGCATTAGGTATATTCAACCTCTGCTAGAATTAGAGATATATATATATTACAAAATTATGAAACAAAGAAGAAATATATAGTTTATTTGTTTTTTTTTAATTTTTTAGTTTTAGATGGACACAATACCTTTATTTTATTTATTTTATTTTTAGGTGGTGCTGAGGATTGAACTCAGTGCCTGACACATGCTAGGCAAGCACTCTACCACTGAGCTATAACTGCAGCCTGGAAATGTACAGTTTTAAAGTCATCTGATAATGTAATAAAAAAGATCCGTGTAATGAAATTCAGACATAATTCAGTTTGTTTGGAAATCAAAGGATTCTTTTGTTTTGTTTTGTTTTGTTTTGTTTTCCTCTCCTTTTTTAAGTGGTATTTGGGATCAATCCCTGAACTTAGTACATGCTAGCCAGGCACTCAACCACTGAGTAAAGGATTCTTACATTTCAGGCAAATAAATATTTCCCTTTCTAAGGGTATATTTTAACATTAGGCTCCTGTGTGTGTGTGTGTGTGTGTGTGTTTTCTTTAACACTGCTAAGAATTTTAACTTTTAGAGAGATGTCACCACTTTGAGGTCACCCCTTTAGTGCATTAGTGCTGGTTCATGTTATTAAAAAATAAAACATCATAGAAGAAAAGGATAAAGTCCATACACAAAGGTGGCACCATATGCTCAAGTTTATTGTACAGTCACAAGTTACACATGGGAAACTAAGCAGAACACTGTATCAGCTTTCACTAACTCAAACCAAGTTAGCAAATGACAGATTTGAGGAAAAAACTCATTTCATGTCTCACCCAATGTGGGTGATCACAAGAGAAGCTAAATAAAGATGATTACTTTCTGTGTTACTTAGGTAGCAAATTATTTTGATATATACAGCTTCCAAGTTACCTTAAGATATTTCAAAGTGTTTCAAAGCTGGTAAGGAACAGTTCATATTCAGCCTGAAATAAACCATAGAATGGAGTGTTTAAGGGCAAACAACTTCTTTGTACATCCACAGCAGAAACATTCTTTCCCACTAACAGAAATACTACTAAATCTCTGTTCTTTAGGCTTACTAAATTAATGATAAATTTGATATTAGCTAGGTTTGGTTACATTGTTATATTGCACTTGATAACAATGACAACGAAAACCACCAAAGATTCAACACCTTTTCCAAGAAGTTCATTAGGTATCAGAAATTACAACAAAATACAAGAACATATTCCATGCTGCACATCCAAAAGTTCATTGTTCAAACTCATCATTCGACAAGTTAAAAGGAAATTTTTCCAAAGCACAGATATATTAATTAATTTCATTTACTTTTTGGATCCCATAATTAATTTATCAGATTTTTTTTGTTGTTATTTATCAAATTACTACATATGAAAGTTATCCAAGAGTACAAACAACCTGACACTGAGATAGGCAATGGCCACACCACAGGTATAACAACAACCTCTTCTTGTCCATCTGGCTCATCAACATAGTAACGTATATCAACTTCACATTCTGTTTGCTTTACAAAAACTAGCTGATTTGCTATATACTATAAAGGTGCCCCAAAAAATCTCTTCTTAGGGTCATGATTCAATATCAAAATCTTTCTCAGCTCTCTTAAAGAAGCCAGTAAACTCTCTTTTATCAACACTTGGATTTTCTCTTTATATAAGTATAAATATGATATTCACGAGAATTAATTATGAATAAGTAATTTCATAACACAGGCATAACTGTGGCAATGACATTCTAATTTGTTTACCTTTTACAATGACAAAGAATTGATCGGAATTTATGATAATTGATCATAAAAGAAAGGAAAATGAAAAAAGTGACCCTCACACAAATTTTCTTAAAATACCAATTCCAAAATAAATACCCTAAAAAAGAAACCAATATCAGCATCAATATTTCTCAACTATGGCAAATGGTTTTAATATCTTCTAACTCGTTTTTTAAAAATTCTCAGATTAATGAGAATTTTCTACTTTGAAATTAATTTTAATTTTCAATAAATCACAAATACGGTAGTACTTGAAATGTTTGACAACTAAAATAGATTCCATAGAACTATTTTTTTATTATTATTTAGTCAAATATACAAGGAAAGGTAGCAGAATACAACAGTCACTAATATGCCATTATGTAAAAATGTGAGTGTGTAACCGATGTGATTCTGCAATTTGTATTTGGGGTAAAAATGGGAATTCATAACCCAATTGAGTCAAATGTATGAAAGATGATATATCATGAGCTTTGTAATGTTTTGAACAACCAATAAAAAAATAAAAAAAAATATACTCATGTGCCACTTTAGGGTAATAATCCCAACATTTTCCTCAGAATAGACTTTCAAATTATACTCCATATTTTTGTAGAGATATATGTGTTCATTTTTGAAAGAAAATCCATACTATTACCTAACACTACATTTCATAAAAGCAATTTAAAACATCTTGTTAATTTCCAACTACAGCATTTTTCAATCTCCAATAGAAATTCCTTGAGATAGAGTTCATAAAAGGAAAAGACTAAATGAAAGCAAATACTAATACCTACTGAAGAATGAATTTCTATTCAAAGTATATTTTTATGAATGACAGCTCTTAGATGGAAAAACAGATATGGAAAAAGTTGCTATAGACCAACTTAGTGACTGCTTGGTGGTAGGCAACACTTGGCCCTAGGATAAAAATATTTTTTTCTTAAAAGAATTTAAATTTATTGGCAATAAAAATACTTATTGCATATGATTGAGATCTTTCAAGCTACTAATAAATTCTACATTCCAAAACCCATTAATTTTAAAACTCACTAAAGCTAAATATAAGGTTTTTTCTGTGTTCTAACTTGCATCTAAATGTGGTTCTACTTTGTGAATATATTCTCCAGTTCAGGTCATCCACTTGTGCTTATATAACACAATATGGCAAGATAAATTGCAATTATTTTTAAAATACAGAAAAAAATAGTCAATTATTTAAGGGAAATATTTATCATTGCCTAATGAGGACAGCAGTTAAAAAGCTACTAAAGTCTTAATTTCTTGAGTACAACATGATGTAATTGCACAAAATAGGGATAATTAAAAGTCATCCCTAGGCCTTGAGGAACTGTGAATAAATCATACATTCCACCAGAAGATTCATCACCCTGCAGGCATATAAAACTACAATTTGCTGCCTATGCTGCTTTTATTAAAAAAGTAATTTCTGTTAAAAAAGAAAAAACTTTAGAAAGCTTTAAAAGGTTTTCAATTAAAAAAAAATTTAAAAGGTTTTCAATAAGTTGAACAGCTTATAAAAATACCTTTTTGTAGTTATTCTGATAACTGAGACTGGTTTTGCACATTACCTTGATTAAACTGAGGAACCACCCATGGGAGTAGCGTCATGCTACTGCTAGAAGTAAACCATGGAGCTACCTGGAGAGTTTTGATCTCATGCATTTCTCATGGGGTGGGAATGGGGATTCAGGTTCCTGTCTGTAATGAAAATGATCTTGACCCGTTATTGCAACAATTTTAGAAATACAAGGAAAAATACATATATAGGAGGAAAATAAATTAATAACTAAAGACTCCACTCTAATCTAAGAACGTACTATTAATAAAGTAATAGTCTTTCAATTAAAATGCTTTCTTTAAGTGTATTGTAAATAGCCAGATGAAAACAATGGGATAGATGTGCTTTGGAAATGATTTCCAACTTCGTATGGCTTTAACCATCCGGATATTGAGCTGAAATTACACTATTACATACACAAAAAGGTATTTTTGAATACAGACTACATTTTTATATAGGTTGGCTTAAAGGATTTCTTGTAGGACTTAAACTATACAAATTAAAGTAATAAAACAGATTAAGGATTAAATATAAATAAAAATTAATCACATGTACCCAATTTTCATATTAAAACATTGTACCATTATTATTACAGAAAAAACTTCTCCCCAGGGCTGGGGATTAAACTCAAGGCCTCACACATGCTAAGCACATGCGCAACCACTGAGCTAAACCTAAACACCCAGTTTCCAGGAAATAATTCTGGTGGTATCATTAATTTTTTAAAAAGTTCTATGTAACAGATATTAAAATCCAAGTTCAGGTAATTACAAAGCTTTTAGTAGCTTTACAAGTCAACTGTAGTGTAATATGTATTAAGTACCTGTACAAAAACAAAAATGTGAATGCTAAGGTCCAAATTTAGATTGCTTTAAAACAACAACAATAAACAGCAAAACCCAAAATACTAAATCAGAAATGAAAATTGTAATAGATACTATTTTATATAAAGTAGTAACTGAGGCACCACCTGTGTTATGTACATTGAATAAAAACCATCATGTGAAATTTTATTATTTAAATATCTAGGGCAATGTATGTGTATTAACCTGTCTGAACTTACTTATAAAGAGAAGGCCAACAAATATTGCTCTCAATTTTGTGGTTAGACGGAAGTCACTGAGTACCTTCAGCAGAAGTCTTATAATTTTATTCCTCATGAAGGAAATTGAACTCTACAATCAATCTGGTAATTCTAGTGATCTGGAATGCAGTATAACTTAAAAATCACAGTTAAGTTTCTGAGTTTCCTTCACCATTTTCATGAGGTTGAAGCTGTTCCCTTTCCTGTTCTTCTTGAGGTGGCCGAACACGTTTAAAAAAGCCCATCTGTCAGTTGAAGTAAAAACATTATTTTCACATCAATATAGAAAACTAAAAATATTTTTCCATATTTTCCTTAGTGCGTTATAATTATACCAAATAGTGAGATTTACTGATATATAGTCATAGGTGCACACAATATAACATGATAATTTGTTCAATATTATTCCCCAGGATCACCCCTTTCCTAGCTCTCCTCCCTCTTCCTAGTTCCTTTCCTAATTCCTACTGGTCCCTCTTCAATTTTCATGAAATCCTCTCCCCCAAAAAATACTTTTTTAGTGACTATATTATAACCAAGAAAATTTACATAAAACTTTATGCAATTTCTCTTCCTTTAAATAAGTCATATAATTATGCCACTTTCTTCCTTCCATTGTTGCTTTTTAATCCTTCTTTCTCTCCCTCCCTCCCCATTTTCTTCTGTTTTCCTCCCTCCCTTCCTCCCTCTTTCTAAGTCCATTACGTACCCTGTACATTACGAAAACTAAGACAGCCAGCAACAGCAATCCTGCCAGAACTGCTAAAATGATCACCCACACAGGCACAGGCATGGGGGCTGGCTGGATGCCCCAGGTGACATTAGTGGTAACCTGTCAGGAAAATAAAAAAGATCTTTAGTCTTAAAAATAATTTATAGATGACTAAGTAGTTGGGTGCTGTTAAATTTTATTTTAATAGTAATCACACTGAATGCTTTTTTTGCATACAATAATTTGGTGGTCACATGTTTTGTATCAAAATATAAATATACACATAAAATTCTCAACAATAGAATAATTTCCAATTGCATCTAAAATGATTTCTAAATATTCCAGTCCAGCCATTTATGTATGATGGCTGATCTCATTTTCAATCCTCAAAAATCTTCCAAATGCCTTCACTTGTTGCAGTTAATTTCACACTTTCTAATTTAATGGGAAGAAAATATCCTTAAAAATCCCCCACATAATTTAGTATACACTAAAAACTCTCTTATATAAGACAAGATGCAACAGTGAAAGGACCAGTTTTGATAAATCTAGGTTGGAATAGTAGAATAATAATATTTTTTAAAAGGTCATAATCCTATCAAATAACTCTTCCATTACTTTAAATATCAAAATAGTTGAAGTGCCATTAAAAAATAAAAAAATGTTTTTAAACATTTAAGGCCTTTGAATGGAGTATATTTACTCTATTTCCCTAAACCAATAACTTACTAATGTAGAGTTGAAGATATCCTCAATTGGAAGGTTTTTGTAAGGAAACTCTATGACATTAAATGAAGCAGATGACTTCAGAGAATATGAATGATTCTGGTTTTCCTTCTGCATGGAAATAACAAAGAGATGATTTTCCAGATGTCAGACCTTTTTGATTGGAAAAAAAAAGTGGAAAAAAAGTGGATAAATCTGCTGTTACATCTGTCTACTTACATTCATAAAGGTCTCAGTCCACAGTAAAGACTTTACATACAGGATTGCACTCTTGCCTCTGTCTAGTCGCCCAACCTGGCAGACAATCCTCAAGCACTGAGCAATTCCACAACCCTGTCAAAACAAATGATTTACTTACCCCGAAAAAGGGGCGTTCTACAATCTCTGCAACATTTAAATATTAGACATTGTATTTTATTATTTTTATGTAAAGGCCAAAGAGAGATTATCTAGATTCGTTTGTCTTGTGGAATTAATGCTTAAAATAATTAGGCTAATAGTTAAGACCGATTTTTGTAATGAAGAGGTTGGTTTTAGTGTGATTGATTATAGAAGGTTAAAACCTATAACTTAAAAGACTTGTTTTTACAGCTAGAACTCAACATTCCTAAGGTGACACCAGAGCATGATAACAGATCACAATATCCCAGTGCAAAAGAAAAGGAGAGCGAGTGAATTTTTAGAGGTTATTCTATGTCAGGCCTGCAGAAATCTAATAGCAAGCTGATGACCTCTGACACACTTGATGTTTTTAATCAGTAACTTGAAGGCTGGTAACCAAAGAAAACAAATACATATCACCTTCTGTGTACCTGTCACAGTGCATTAAACAGATCACATGCATATACCTCATAGCAATTGCTATCTAATAAGTGGTAGCACCAACGAATGGACAGGAACAGAAGTGAACTCCCTAGATCTGACAAAGGGCATCTACAAATTCCCACAGCTAACACCACTCTTAATGGTGAGACACTGGATATTTGTCTCTAAGACTACAAGCAACACAAGGATGACTTCTCACTCATGCCATTCCAGTCAACATTGTATGGAAGGTTCTAGTCAGGACAATTAGGCAAAAAGAACATAATGAAAGAATGAATAAAAGTTCTCTCTTCGCAGCTGACAACATCTTATACATAGAAAACACTAAATAATAATCCCCAAAACTAATAAAAGCTAACAGGTACAGAAAAGTATAAGACACAAGATCAACATAAAAATATAAGCAATAAAAAATCCAAAAAGGAAATTAAGAATTTTTTTTAAAAAAAACAGCATCAAAAAGAACAACATACATAGGAATAACATAACTAATACCTACATAAATGCAAGAATAGTACAATGAAAACAACAAAATATTACTAAAATCAAAGAAAAACTAAATGAATAGACAGCTAGTTTTCAATGATGTAAAGACATGATATTTTAAGATGGTAATACCCTTCAAGTTTCTGATCAGGCTCAACAAAACTTCTCTCAAGATTTCAATGACCTTTATTTGAAGAAATGGATAAGCTCGTCCTACAATTCATATAGAACTGCAAAGAACCCCAAGGAGCCAAAACAATCTTGCAAAAGAAAAAAATATTAGATGGTTCACACTTCCCAAATTCAAAACTTACTGTTGCAGAGCTATGGTACTCCAAACAATTTGGCTTTGGCATCAAGAACACACACATGGGACAATGGAATAGAACTGAGAAAGCAGAAGAGGGATTACTAGGGACAGGGAAGGGTGTGATACTAGGGACAGCAAAGGGAGAAGAGGGACATGATCAATGCACAATGTGTGCATGTATGGAAATATCACAGTGAATCTCAATAGAGTTAATATGTGTTATAATAATGCAAAAAGTAAAATGGGATTGTAATAAACCCAAACATATTTATGACAAATTTGTCTTCAATAAGGATGCCTAAACCATTTATCTTTTCAATAAATAATGCCCAAACAACTAAGCAATTACATGCAAGGAATAAATCTGAACTCCTACCTCATGCAACATACAAAAATTAACTCAAAACAAACAGATGTAAATATAAGAGCTATAGGAATAAAATTTGGAAACCTAGATATAAATTTTATAACTTTATCCTTAATGATGGTTTTATAATTTTTTTGGGGGGGTAGGACCATTGAACTCAGGGACACTCAACCACTGAGCCACATCCCCAATCCTATTTTGTATTTTATTCAGAGACAGGGTCTGTCTCACTGAGATGCTTAGAGCCTCACTTTTGCTGAGGCTGGCTTTGAACTTGCCATCCTCCTGCCTCAGCCTCCCAAGCCAGGGATTACAGGCATGTGCCGCCGTGCCCAGCTATGGTTTTAAAATAGAATGAAAATATAAGCAACAAAAGATGACAAAGATAAATTGAGCTTCTTATATTTAAAAACTTTTGTGCATCAAAGGATGCCATCAATAAAGTGGAAACTCATACAGAATAAGAGGAAATATGTGCAATCATATATCTGATAGAGATGGTATCCAGAACATATAATGAACTCTTTGCAACTCAATAATAAAAGGCGGGGGGAAACACAACAGACACTAGTATGGCAATATGTAAATCAATGGATGTGTAACTGATGTAATTCTGCAATCTGTATATGGGGTAAAAATGGGAGTTCATAACCCACTTGAATCAAAGTGTGAAATATGATATATTAAGAAATTTGTAATGTTTTGAACAACCAACAATAAAAAATTAAAAAAAAAAAAGTGGACAAAGGATTTTAACAGACATTTTTCCAAAAGAGATATACAAATGAATATGCTCAGCAATGTTAGTCAATAGGGAAATGCAATTAAAAACCACAATGAAATAGTGCTTCACACCAAATGGGATGATTATAAAAAATTAAAAGCAATTAAACAAAACAAGACAATGACTAGTAGTGGAAAAGTTTTAGAGAAATTGGAAGCATCATATATTGCTTGTTGAGAACGTAAATGGTTCAGACATTTGTTTTGTTTTGAGACAGGTCTTGCTATGCTGCCCAGTCTGATCTTGAAATCTTAAGCTCAAGTGATCTTCCTGACTCAGCATCCTGAGTGCTGGGATCTACTTTGGAAAACAGTTTCTTCAAAAAGTTACACACAAAATTTCTAAATACCCCAGTTGTCTCATTCCTAGGTTTATTCCCAAGGGAACTGAAACACATGTTCACATAAAAACTTTTGCATGAATATTCACAGCAGCACTATTAAAAACAGACAAAAAAGTAGAAACAATCTAAATTTCCATCAAATCAATGAAAGAATAAACAAAAGATAATATCTACAAAGTGGAACATTATGCAGTTATAAAAATGAATGCAGTACTCACACATGCTACATCAATGAATCTTAAATGCAAGAAGCCAAACACAAGAGAGCACTTATTATACGTTGCCATATCTATGGAAAGTCGGGAATAGGCAAATGCAGGATTGAAAACAAATTAGAGGTAACCAGGAGCTGGTGGTAAGGGAGAATGGGAAGTAACTGCTTAATGGGTAGATAGATCCACTTCTTTCTGGGGTGACAAAATATCTTTTGGAATTACAGTGATAATGGTTGTCTAATGTTGCGAATATACTAAAAACCACTATATCATATACTTCAAAATGGTTAACGTGATAAATTTTGTGTTACTGTAAGTTTTATCTCGATTTTTAAAATTATAGTTTTATAGTTTTCATTTCATGTGGATTGGTCAGAGATAAATTATGACAGAGGTGTCATAATTTGACATGCTAGCATTCCAGAAAGAAATGGGTAAATGTGTCACAGGGCTATCTGGACAAAAATCATTTTAGGAACTGCAAGAGCAGTTTTCAAAATCTGGAGGTAGAAACATGCTGTGGTGGTTCAATGAAAAGCCAGGTGGGCACGTAAGCACAGGGGGCAGGCAGAGAGGAAGAGCCAAGTCATGATAAGCTTAAAGGCTTTGTAGGCTCTGGGGTTTTTTTGTTTGTTTTTAATTTTCTTTTTAGTTAGATGGGAAGGCACTGGAGAGACATAACCTGAATTATATTTGAAAGAATCACATGGATTCTATGTGATGAATAAACTGTAGAGGGAAGAAGGAAAGTATTCAGGGACCAAGTGAGGATTTAACAATAGTCGAAGCAAGAGAAGGGATCAGATTCTGAATTATTTGAAAATAGATACTAACTGACTTGGCTGAAATGTAAGATGTGCGATTTGAGAAAAAAGAGTAGATGCAGGTTTGAACAGAGAGTGGAGTGGATATTTACTCAATATGGATCACTACGGAAAGAGCAGAGTTCAGAAAATTCCAGGGTCTATTTTTATTTTTTTTCTTTTATTACAGCATTATAGTTTTATATAATAATTGGGTTCATTTTGACACAGTCATGCCTGCATGGAATTTGATTTAATCCATTTTAGTCCCAGGAACTCTCCCTTTCCTTCCCTTCCTCCTTCCTCTACTTTGTTCATCTTCCTTTCACTCACTTATTTATTTTTGATTGGTACTTTATAGATATACATAAAGGAGGAATTCACTGTGGTATATTAACACATGTACACAGAGCAGGTTTGTCAAATTCATTCTGCATTTCCTCCCCTTTCCCATCCACTCTCCCTCCCTCTTGACCTCCGTCTAACCCCACTGGTCTTCCCTACATCTTTATGATATTCGACTTCCCACTTTTCTTCCCTTACTTTGTTTTAGCTTGTGCATACGAAAGAAAATGTTTGACCCCTGATTTTCTAAGTCTGGCTTATTTTACTTAGCATGATGTTCTCTAGTTCCATCCATTTACTGGCAAATGCCATAATTTCATTCTCCTTTATGGCTGAGTAAAACTCCATTGGGTATATATAACACATTTTCTTTATCCATTCATCTATTGACAAGAATCTGACTGGTTCCATAATTGGCTATTGTAAATTCTAAGGCTATAAACATTGATGTGGCTATATCACTATAATATGCTGATTGTAGTTATTCTGGATAAATACTAAGGAGTGGGATAGCTAGGTCATTTGGTGGTTCTATGCTGGTCTTTTTGAGGAATCTCCATATTGCTTTCCTGAGAGGTTGTACTAATGCACAAACCCATCAGGAAGTATGAGTGTTCCTTTTTGCCCACATCCTCACCAACATTTACTATTATTTGTATTCTTGATAATTATCATTTTGATTGGAATAAAATAAAATGTCAGTGTAGTTTTGATTTGCATTTCCCTGATTGCTGGAGATATTGAGAATTTTTTCATGTATTTGGTGGCCATCTGTGTTTCTTCTTCCTTCTCTTTTTAAAAATATTTATTTATTTAGTTGTAGTTGGACACAATACCTTTATTTTATTTATTTTTATGTGGTGCTGAGGATCGAACCCCAGGGCCTCGCACATGCTAGGTGAGCACTCTACCATTGAGCCCCAACCCCAGCCCTGAGTTTCTTCTTTTGAGAAATGCCTGTTTAGTTCTTTTGCCCATTTCTTGATAGGATTGTTTTTTGATTATTTGGTTGTTTTTTGGGTGTTGAGCTTTTGGGTTCTTTACATATTCTGGATGTTAATATCTGGACAGAGGAATAGCTGGCAAAGATTTTTCTTCCATTTTGTAGGCTTTCTTTTCATGCTCTTAATTATTCCATTGCTGTGAAGAAGCTTTTTAATTTGATGACTTTCCACTATTGATTATTGGCTTCAATTCTTGACCTTTAGATCTTCTTCTTAAGGAAATCAGTGCCTACACCAATATGATGGAATGTTGACCCTATGGTTTCTTCTAACATTTGCAAAGTTTCTAGTATAATTCAATTCTAATTCAAAGTCTCTGCTCCACTTCAATTTGACTTTGTGCAGTGTGAAAGGAATCTAGTTTCATTTTTCCTACATATAGCTATCCAGTTTTCCCAGCACTATTTGTTAAAGTGGCTACCTCTTCTCCATCATATATTTCTGGCATCTTTCTTATTTATCAGATGGCTGGAAGTGTGCGGTTTTGTCTCTGTCTCTTCTATTCCATTCTATTGGAATTCATATCTATTTTCATACCAATACCATGCTGGTTTTGTTACTATAGCTCTGTAGTATAATTTGAGATCAGATATTGTGATGTCTCCTGCATTACTCTTCTTGCTCAGGATTGCTTTGTCTATTCTGGGACTCTTATTCTTTAACATGAATTTTAGGATTTTTGTTTTCGGTTCTGTGAAGAATGTCATTGGTATATTTGGTAGGGATTACAATAAGTCTATATATTGCTTTTGGTAATATGGCCATTTTTTTTGAACACATAAATTTTTTATACCATTATTTTATTTGTTTACTTTTATGTGGTGCATGCCTGACATGTGCAATGCACTGGGTTCGATCCTCAATACCACATAAAAATAAAATAAAGTTGGGGCTGGGGGTGCAGCTCAAGCGGTAACACGCTGGCCTGGCATGCGTGGGGCACTGGGTTCGATCCTCAGCACCACATAAAAATAAAATAAAGATGTTGTGTCCACCGAAAACTGAAAAATATATTATAAATAAATAAATAAATAAAAATATTGTGTCCACCTAAAAAACTAAAAAAATAAATAAATAAATATTTTTAAAAACCAGCTACTATTACTTGTTTTTGGTCTGCATTCGTATAAAATATTTTTTTCCATCTTTTTACTTTCAGTTTATGAGAATGTTTGCCTATGAGATAAGTCTCTTACAAACAGTATATAGTTGGATCTTATTTTTTAATCCATTCTGTCACTCTATACTTTTAACTGGAGAGTCGCAAGCATTTACATTCAGTTGTTATGGATAAATGGTTGTTATTTCCTGCCATTTGTTGTTGTTATTGTTATATTTAATTTGGTCTTGATTTTCATTTAGTTGGTTGCTCTTCTAAGATCTTCATCTATTTTGGAGCTTAGGGGCTAGTTTTTGAGTTCCTCTATACAGTATATCTTTAAGTATTTCCTATAAAGCTGGCTTAGTTGTCATGAATTCTATTAGTTTATGTCTACCACTGAAAGTTTTTATCTTTCTATCAATTCTAAAAGATATCTTTGTTCAATACAGCAGTCTTGGCTGGCACCTGTTTTCTTTCAGAGTCAAGGTATAATTTTAGAATGAATTTTACTATTAGATGTTTAAGAGAAGTTCTAATAGGTTTGTTGGATATTGGATTCTAGAGTTCAATACAAAGAATTCGGTTAGAAATATAATTCAAATTCTTGTGCACCAGATAGTATTTACAGCCATGAGACTCAATAAGATCACCTAGTATAGCACTATCCAAAATAACTTTCCATGATGACAGAAGTCATCAATATAGAGACATGTATGCTGCTTGATAGAAGAGCTGCTAGCTTCACAGGACTGTTGAACTCTTGAAATGTGGCTGGGATCAACACTATCAGTAGTATAACCAGCACAGATCAAGTGAATGAATGTAGGTGAAGCAGAGAAGAAATCTGAGATCTGAGTACTCTGTAGGTTAAACGTCTGAAAATGGACATTAAGGAGCAGCTAGAGGTGGCAGATGGACAACCAGAAGAGAACAGCATCCTAGAAGTAATTAAGTGAGTCAAAAGTCACTGAGTGAGTGAACTAGGTGAAGATGAAGAAGGAACACAGAATTGATATAAAAGTAATTAATGATTGCTACTCAACATAAACAAAATCCAAAGCTTCTTTAATGGGTGGTGGTTTGCAGGTCTGCTAATTTTCAAAAAGTTAACGATGAACTCCTTTAAAGCATAGTCATAGCATGAGCTCACTCAAAAAAATTTAACCATGTTAGTTATTCTAACATTTTCATTGAGGCCTTCTGGGTTCTTTCTACAGTATTATACTAAAACCTCAAAGATCAGGGTGAGACCAAGAAAGAGGGCAGTTAAAAGAAGCAGAATCAGATAATTTGGAACATAAAATATTCTTATCAGCAAATGACAAATCACTTAAAAATTTGGCATTAATTTGACTAGGATAAAGAAAATAGGAGGACTGAATAGTTTAAAATATATGTAGTTCTTTCAAGCACAGCTGCTGTTATTTTTGAAATGTTCTTTGTCATCAGTCCTTTAATCACATATTTTCAAATGTTTATAGTTCATGTACTTGAAATGGCACTTACCAAAGTGTGAACATCTCCTTCACTAAGGGCGAGATCTCGCTTTGTGATGAGATGGTTCCGGTCACCTTGCCCAGCAATTGTGTCATTCTTCTCAGCTGTTTGCAAAGATGAGATCTGTATTGCATTGCAAAAAGGTGATAAATAATAATGGAAAAATTTTATATCGACATTTTGACAAAGGCTCTTATATACGATTATGCATGAAAATTTGGTGTTACAGAAAATTCACCAGTTAATATGCTAAGAAGAGTGAGGACAGAAAATATAGTCTTTAATGTGTCTTTTAAAAATTAGCTATCCCTAGCCATTACTGTCTCTCTCATTGCAAAACTAAAATGGAAATGGATGAAAATACATAGAAACAGCCTGAAATTCTAAAGTACATCTGTGATGAGTATGAATTTTGAGCATATTTTTTAGTTTTCTTAACTTTCCTTGAACCATGTTGGGCAATAGCTTCTTACAGAAATTTATGTTCTAGGATGATGATGACTATGTCTTAGAGCATATTTTTATATTCTATAAAATGATATTTTCATAGGTCATGTAAATTAAGAAAATCACAAGCAAAATGGCATATCTTATTCCAAAGATACAAATTCCAACAAAAGAACAGTCTTCAAACAATATTATACACTGGATAAACTAAGATGTGATGCATCCACGGTCAAATCAACTCACTTAAGAGTATCTTCCAAGGCTTAATAAACACTCCATAAATGTGGTTCACTAGGACTTCACAGAATTCATTATTAACCATTTTACAAATAATCTAATTCTTAGTGTACTGGTTATGAATTATAATATTTGGGCAAAGCCTATGCCATAAAATAGCTGTTCTATTCATGCATTCCACAGGTTTAATAAGAAAGCAATAAAAAGTAATCATAATGAAGAGCTGCTTAATAGCTTGGTTACCTTGATTCTCAAAGGGTTGATCTCCATATCTGAAGTACAGTTCATTGGCCCATCGATGTCATAATGAAGGATGTACAACAAAGTGTTGTTGTTATATTTATAAGGCCACTGAAGATTTAGCATGGCTTTGCTGAATGAACTGGGACCATTGTTTCTCAGCTAATGAGGAAAAGAAATGTAAATACCTTGGGCAAAAATTTATTCTATAATCCTTCCCATGTGCCAACTTCAGAAATCATATCAACAACAGGATTTGAGTAACAGCAGAGTTGCCACAAATAGACTCTAAATTACAACATAATCTTATACAAAGAATATCAAACTCAACATTTGTCTCTAGAGTAACAGGTATCAGGATGAAAATATAAACAAAAGAGTTAAATATTAAAGAGTTATTGATAACAAAAATTTTCAACCTATAGAAATAAAATTGTGATTATTTACTGTAGGCATTTTCAGTTTTTTGTCAGAACTGCAAAATGCCCATGGGAAAATACCCAATGACCTAATTCTTTTATTCAAGTAGAATAAATTGGTTTTAAATAACAAATTATATCAATTACCTTCTTTAAACACTTAAAGCTTTTTATCTACTAAAAGCAAACTTATAAACAGGGAAAAATTCAAAGAAATATAGGTACACTATAGGTACATACTAAATCTATCCAGAGTTTACATAAAAATTACATAGCATTGATTTTAAAACATAGCTTAGTTGTTCTCTTTGTTGGCTCTCTCACTAGGTTTCCCTTAAATCCAACAGCTGCAAACCTCATAAATGTGCTGAACAACTGGTCCAACATCTTCTTCAGTCTCAGGGTTCTCCTTGTGCTCCCAATTTGGAATCGGAAGAAAGATATGATCAGGACTTGAGACTCTAAACAATGACCAAAGAAAACCTACCATGAATATCAAAATGATATGGTCAGTTCAATTTCAAAACTATGCTGTATTCAAATGAATAAAATTAGACCTAGTAACAAAGAATCTTAAAAAGAAACACTAGAGAATGCACACAGATACCATAGCTGCTATTAAATCTACACATAACAGGTAAATTGGAAAGTCAATTTGTGCAAAATCTCAATAAGCTTATTTTGAGCATATTATTGTCATGTCTTGTTTCTTTTCAGAGGAGTGGCAAATAAATATTTGGGGTTTTGGAACATATCCAAGATCTTTTTTAAACAGAATCTCCTGCCTTAGTAAAATGTACCACTAACATGGAGTATTTATGATCCAAAAGAAGGTTGAGTTTCACAGTTACATTTCAAAAGCAATCATGTCAATAGGATACTCAACTTAGTAATCATACTGACCCTCTTATCTCAACAGCAGCTATAACAGCAAGGTCAACTCTGTAAGATACAACTGGGCTTACTTTGTCAAAAAGATTAGAGCTGAAAAAGAAAAAGAACAAATTTAGAATAGAATTGGATAGAAACATCATCAAAATCCTATTGAGGCAAACCCAGCAAAACTAAAAATGAATAGATTCAAAGCAACAAAGAAATGAAAACCTTCTAAGTCAAAACAATTATTTTTGATAGCATTTAATTCCCAGAAGATGATCAAGTTTTATTTTTTAATGTTTAATTTTGTCTTACAAACTCAAAAATTGACAATATTATTCTTAAAATATAAATATTGATTTTAAAAATCCTATAAAGTACTGGAATTTGAACCTATCCTATTCAAAAATATTTAAAGTATGTTATATAATATATCTGTAACACATTTCCTCAATCGGTATTACAAGGTAACACAAGGTGTTTTCATACCTTTGGATTTGTAAATCAAATTTCACAGAAGTATCCATCTCTGATTGCTGGTGAACACTGAATCGAAGACCAGCTAAGAGCTGAAGGAAAAAGGAACAGATGGTAATATTAGTCAAAGTCTAAAAAACAGTGAGAAATTTCAAATCCAATATCCAAATAAAAACAAATGTTCTAAAACACACTGTTTATAGTAAAAGTGAACACAGATAATTAAATATGGTTTTCTGTTGAATCTCTTATTTAAGATACAATCGATAATGGAACCTATTTAACAACAATTACTAATAATAATTACACCTCCTTGTGATATTAATTATCTTTCTAAAATGTGCAAGTAAATGTTTGTTGATTCAATTAATTAGACACAATGATTTGTGCCTAAGTCTGGCCAGAACCAGAATTGCTCCTCCTCTCACCTTTCACAAACCCCTCAGGTACCAAACATCCTAATTCCTGCCTGTCACAAACAAATGAGTCAAGGTAAAAGAAAGAAGGCTTCTTGGAGATAATACAAATGATACAAAAAAATGGCACCTCCTGGGAACTGCCTCCTGCTTTCCACTTTGGAAAGCCTAGAGCTGGCAACTTGGAATAACCAGGAACTCTCTACACTGAATGGGCTGTGAGTGAAAGATCTAGAGAAAATACGGTTACAAAAAAATTAAAAAGATGTTCTGTTGTTAACGACAACTTTGAGTACATACAAAGTAAAAGGACTGATCAGAGTATTTGTTCAAGCCCTCTTCCCTAGACACCATGCACGTAAAAACAATGAGTTTTAGAGAAATATACATTTCAAGAAATATGAAATGTTTAGCTCCAGAGTGAAACAGATCTCAAATTGCCAATATTAATGTGTCATTAAATAAATTAATTGTATTGTAAAAGCAACACTATGTAGACTGTCATATGTTTTCCTTTATACTGAAATATAAGAGGTATGTTTTGTTTCCTTTTTAATAGGTTTGGGAAGAGACCCATTGGGTGTTTGCTTCTTTTCAAGCTCCTATGCTCCCTGCTCCACCATCTGAAGGGGCCTGATCCAACTCAATTTCCCTTTGATCTTCTGTGTGGGACCTGTAATACATGGCTTCAAGTTAATAAGTAGATTCTATCTCACCTAAGAAGACAGTCCTGATTTTTGCCAGAGTAGTTTTTGAGGATCCATTAAAGCATCACTTTAAAATACCAAAATTAAAATTTCAGTTCCTTTTTTTGGTTTTTGTTTGGGTTTTTTTGTTTGTTTATTTGTTTCTTGCTAGGGATTGAACCCAGAGCCTTCTACATGCTAGGCAAGCACTCTACCAACTAAGCTACCTCTCCAGCTATAACAGTTCCTAATCCATGTTCTCATCCATTTACTAAACTAAAGGCAGCATCAAAAGCAGATTATTGAGTACAGTACAATAGCACAACTCATTATTTTAGTATCTTGTTCAAACTGAAAAGAACTCTGTTAATTATGATACTCAAAATCAAAAACCAAATTAAAGACACCGTTTTGAAATGTTTTTGATGTTGTTGTTTTAATACTATGAACAAATGCAGAGAACAGCAAAGTATTCTATAATCCACTCGATTAAAATATCTTACTTGAGTTCCAGCCTTCATTGGGTTCCCCAGGTCACATACCACTTGGCGGGTTTGGTTTTCTGTCTTAAATGCACAGGAAAGTCTTGCTAAGTCCTTTGTTAGACAAAGAAAAACGTCGTGAAAAGGAAAATAAATTAATGGCTAAAAAAAAAGTAGAAACCACAAGATTATAAAGTTACAACTGAGTATCATGCAGTTAGATATTAAATTTATTTTTTTAGTGAAAAAAATAAATCTCAACAAACGTGGAATAAGAAGTCAGAACTATGTGTGATTGCCTCATATAAATGCACAAGTGTTTCTGAAAGATCCCTAGAGGACTTACATACATAACCATAGTTCCTCTGACAAATAAATTGATGGACAGGCTTAGACACTTTATCTTTCTGACCTCATTTTCAGGCACTTAGCAAGCAATTTTTAAAATGTCGTATCAATGCATTATGTAAAGTATTAGGCTTAAAAGGAATTACATAGAATAGGCACTCTATTGTCTAGCAATTCAGCCTTAGGTAGAATGGCTAAGCTGTGTTTCACTAAATAGGGGAGTAGCTCATTAATGTTAATAAGACCTGTGAGTGCATTTCAATTTTTAAAGAGGTAGCTTGCTTACTTCACTGTTTCGGACAACCCCAATGAAATCAGCCTGCGGTGGCATGGAAATGATGAGCTCAGCTTCATAGGCACCTTCTCCTTGATTCTGAGCCTTAACAATCAATGTGAGAGGGTTGTCGTCTCCAATATAGATCTTCTTTTGATCACTGAAAGTTAATGTGAATTTAGACAGTGAAAAAAGACTACATGGGGAGTGTATGGCTGTTCAAAGAAACAAGAGATAAATACACAGACAGCCCCAACATGTTCAACAGTGTCTCAAGATATTTTAAGACTTCTTCAGAGTTCAATAGAAAACAGAAAATAGCATACTGGGAGCAAGTCCAACACTTTTCTCTGTAAAAGAAAACATTAATGCCATGATGCCACTAATAAATCACTGGCTTTCATATTTATTACTGAAGTAATTTTATATCTCTGCATGTACTTTTGGGGTGGGGGGGAAAGGATGGAGACTGAACCTAGGGCCTCACACATACTAGGCAAGCACTGAGTTTACATTCCCAGCTATTTTTAAAATTTTGAATCAGGGTCTCACTAAATTGCCCAGACTGGCCTCAAACTGGTGATTCTCGGGCTTTGGCCTCCTGTGTAGCTGGGATCACATGTATGTACCACCATGTCTGGCTCAGCATGTACTTTTTTTTTTTTTTTTTGTGGTGAAGGGGATTGAACCCAGGGTCTTGTGCATGCAAGGTAAACATTCTACCAACTGAGCATATATCCCAGCCCTGCATGTAAGTTTTAATCCCCTAATTTTTTTTATAAAAGCATGATTTTTTACAATAATCTTTTTAATGTATATGCTATAAAACATGGTAAGGATGTGCTTGAGTCAAGAGTATTCCTACAATGAAGTATATCTTTAAGATGACATATTACTTTGTGATAGTATCCAAAGCTAAATGGTCACAAATCTGTCAAGCTAGGCAACTAGTAAAAACAAAGTAGATATTTTTTAAATTCAAGATTAATAGCTTTATTATTATATAAAATCATGTATTACCCCCTAATATAACTAATTCTCATTAAAATATTAGTACTTTGAATAGGAAAATGTGCTCTGTGATTTGAATTTCTTATGGTAATGTTTATTGTTTGGAGCAAAACTTACCTATTTACAGAAACTTCTAGTTTGGGTTTACAGACATTGTCTTCACCACAGTCAAGTAGAATATGAGCCTAGAAAAAAAATATTTATTTATCTACATGAAAAAAAAATATGCAGGTTGCATATGCAGTGTATATCAGTACATATGTGTATAGACATGCATGAACCCATGTGTATTTATATACACTCATCAACTTGTTCGTATACCTGAATAAAAAAAAATCATTTATTTATAAACAGGTGGGTGTAGCTTGTTAAGAATGAGAAAAAAGAATAATATTAGTAGGATACAACATAACATTTGGACTTTTTAGTTTTATCTCACTTTAATTGCTATTTTGAAATAAAATCTGGTATAGAAGTAATGATTAAAAATTGAGAGATTCATTTTTGTTTTGTTTGATTTGTTTTTTGCAATACTAGGGGTTGAACCCAGTGCTGCTCTACCACTGAGCTACATCCTTGGGTCTTTTTTATATTTTGTTTTGGGACAGGGTCTCACTATATTGCTAGCCTTGAACTTGTGATCCTCCTGCCTCAGCCTCCTGAGTAGCTGGGATTGCAGGGTGTGCACTACCATGCTAGGCTGAAGGTTTTGACTCCGCTTACAACTAAGTTGTGTGAACTTAAGCAATATAAACCCCTAGAATTCCTCACTAAAGAGTGTGCCCTCTGTCAATGTCATGGAAATATGGCTACAAAAGACAAAAGAATAAAGAACGGAAAATATACTGGAGCCATACAACAGGAGGACCAAAGGGGGAAAGAACTGGTCAAAATGATGCAGCATGTCCATGGCCATTTAGAAAGAAAAAAAGGAAAAGGAACCAGAAGTGTCAGAATGACCAGAATAGGTACAACAAGAAAAATCTGAACTTTTCCTTATCCAGGCCTTTCCAGGAGAATGTGCTGGATAGAACAGTATGGAAAAAACCCAAAGAGAAATAATGGAAGATGCAGAATATGTTGGATAAGATGTGAAAACAGGAATATAAAAATTGAGAAAAGAAAGAAGGAAAATTCTTGGTTTGTCTACTCTTAATATCTAAAGGGCTTCATACCCAGAAGCAGATGAAAAGAAGAGAGAAAAGGATTTAAAGGAAAAGAATAATGAAAGGAATCATTTAAAAACAGGTGATGATTGCATACTTCTAAGTCACAAGGGAAGTGCAGTTACCTGGAATAGAATTACTTGATAGAAATGCTAATTGCCAATTTAATTGGGATGAAACCCCAAAATATATGGAATTAATTCAATTACTAGATGCAAGCAGTTGCCATAAGCATCAAGAAAAAAGAAAAGGTCAGGATTGTTAGGAGAATTTATGGTGATTCTGTAAGTCACACAAAGGAAATCACTGCTCAGTTCAGGAATAAAGGGTGAATTTTGTGCATAACAAACTCATGTAAGTTGTGTATCTGAAGTCTGGAATAAGAAATTTGTATAAAAATATTAATAAAACTGTGATAAATGAACACATAGCTAACTACCACTTTGCAGGGTAGGAAAAGAACTAAGCTGGCACTGGAGCTGTAGTTAAAACATTATCAACAGGAACACAGCATTCCTGAATGACTACAGAATAATTAAGTGACAATGTACAGAAGAAAAGCAACAAACAAACAAATAAACAACCATGTTACCAGAAAAGATAGTTTCAGAAGTGGAAACCCACAAAGCAATGTCTTCTATGTCCAGAGAACCAAATCTCTACAGTTATATACTTAATATCTCTCCTTTCTTTTTTTTTTTTCAACTACTGGAGATTGAACCCAGAGTTGCTCTACCACTGAACTACATCCTTAGCCCTTTTTATTTTTATTTTGAGATGGGGTCTCACTACATTGCTGAGGCTGGCCTGGAACTTATGATCTTCCTGCCTCGGCCTTTAGTTGCAGGGATTACTGGCATGTGCCACCATACCTGGAATTATACTTAATATCTTGGACTAAGCAAGAATATGATATATATTTGAATGAAAAAAAAAATGGGATAACCATTCCTTCTGCAGAAACCACTGAATCTCCTACTGCAAAAGAGGAAGCTTTTGATCTGCACTAATATAAGTAGCCATGTAGAAGCCAAATGTGGCCCTCGAACACTTGAAACTTGTCTTGTGTGACTGAGAAACTGATTTTACTTAAAAAACTGATATTGAAATCCCTTAGTAAAAAATTTTTAGTATGTTTAGAATAACTTGAGTATATATATCTTCTTCAATTATAAATTATATGAATTCTAAATAAACAAAAAATTTTTTCAACAAAAATTTAGCATCTGGATTTATATGTATTATAATTGTACAATATATTCTGGATTTTGAAGAAAGTAAAAAAAACAGAATGTAAATAGTTTGCTGAAAATTTTTAAATTGCTTACAAGTTAAAATTATAATATTTTGGATATTGTTATGGCTGAATTATGTTTGCCCAAATTGTATGTTGAAGTTCTATTCCTCAGTACCTCAGAATGTGACAGTATTTGAGATACAGTCTTTAGAGAAGTAACTAAAATGATGTCACTAGGGTAGGCCTTAATCTAATATTACTCACCTGTGCTTCTTAAATGATGAGTCTAGGACACAGACACATGTAAAGGAAACACCACGTGAGAACAGAAGAGAAGGTGAGCATCTATAAGCCAAGGAGATAGGCCTTGGAAGAAATCAACCCTCGTGACCCCTTGATCTTGGATTTCTAGCCTTCAAAATTGTGAGAAAATGAACTTATGTTATTTAAGTCCCTTACTCTATGGTACACTGTTGTAGAAGCTCCAGAAAACTAATACATACCTATTATTAAAATTAATTTCTAATAAAAATTAACTTTGAAAGATAGCACAATACTGACTGACAGACCTTAAGAGGCATAGAGATCCACTTCTAAATTGTTAATCAACATAACACTGTACACCTACCAAATTAGACAATATAAACACAGAGCTATATATAACAGGCTCTCTTGAAATAGATAGTATAAAATAACATGTGATTACTGATATACAAAATGGATTATTAAAATATAAAAGTTACAAAACACTAAACATTTTTTTAAAAACTTTGCTTTATGCTGTAGTTATATAGTCCTCTCAAATTACCCCCTAAAAAACCAAAAACCAAATGAGCAAGTTATGAGATCCTTTAAAGGAAAATAAAAAAGAAATGACGAGGGGCTGGGGTTGTAGCTCAGTGGTAGAGTGTTTGCCTAGCATGTGTGAAGCACTGGGTTCAATCTTCAGCACCACACAAAAATATATAAATACAGGTTAAAAAAAGAGAAAGAAAGAAAATAGAAAGGTCAATCTACATTTAGTTTAAAGAATTTTATGGGGAAAAAATATCAATCCAAAAATATGAACATGTTATAAAAGGAAGAAACAGAAAATAACAATATTTAAATATATTTAAATACATGTTTTTCACAGGTTTTTCTAAAATTAAAATATCAATCCGAAGTCTTATGTTCTTGTACTTAGCCTATGTACAGAATGATTATATACTATATATGCATATTGGTGAAATGTGTAAATACATATATACCTATATATATACTTTAAAAACAAAATGTATATTAAAGATGTGTATCAAAGGTATTTAGCAAAATACTAAAACGCTATGTAAAGAATGGAGTTTTGTTGTTTTCCTTGAATTATTTTATTATTTTATGCATATGAAATGTGACCCTGGCTTTTTCTACACACAACTAAAGTCAGAGTGGATTTAAATATGTCTAACAGGAAAGTTCACATTTCTACCCCTCTGACTTATTTAACTAAACATCTACCAACATTATAAAAGCAATCCCTTGTGATATTTAAGAACACAAATTATAAGAACTTAATAAAGATCCCAGTATGTAGCAGGAGCACACTGGGAGAGACAGTACCTGTCGACTGAGGTTAGCAGGGGTGAACTGGTTCAGGATGGGACGCAAGCCTGTGGCATCAGCGGCCGTTCTATAATCCAACCGATACTCCATAAAAATAGTAATTGGAGTAAGTTTGTCTCTAAATTCAGATTCATCCTAGAAATGGAAAATCTTCACATTAAAGATGGTATCAACTTAAAGTATCTGGAGAAATCTACAGGTGCACATCACAAAGCCAGCTAATTCTATGAAGCTAGTCTAATTAATACCTCTACTTTTCCTCATTCATTTAAATTAAATGGCACTGAAGGATGTACACTTACATTTACATTTTGCTTCTGTGACATCTAGACATTGTGATATGTAGTATTTTCACAATGATTCAATTATATATTTCCAATATAATCTCTTTTTGACCCTTAAGTTATTTAAAACTACATTTCCTAGGAACTCAATTTCCTAAATTATCTTTTTGCTATTGGTTTCTAAAAACTGTTGTTACCGTTTGGATGTTAAGTGTCCATGTGATAAAGGCCTGGACGCTAGGGAGGCAATACTGAAGAAGTGGGGAAACCTTTAAGAGGCCTGGCCTACCTAGTGTCAGGTCCTCAGGTCACTGGAGATGCCCTTGAAAGGGACTGTGGGACCCCAGTCTCTTTCTCTTGCTCTCTGCTTTCTGGCTATGAGGTGGGTGGTACTGTCCTGCCTCATAACTTCTTTCAGAATTACTGCTTCACTGCAGCCCCAAAAACTACAGGGTTGCTCAACCAATCATGGGCTGAAACCTTTCAAACCTTTTCTTCTTATACGTTGATTACCTTAGGTATTTCTTATAGTGATGGAAAGATAACACAAGTACATTGTGATCAGATACCATATTTCCTATGATATCTCTTTGAAATGTTTAGATTACCTTTATGGCCTATACATGTGTTGAGGGCCACAGACAAGTCAAGATGGCACCTGGCACTTTGTCAGGAGGAGTGGTTTGAGAAGTAACGCCAGCGAGCCATTAAGATGATGGAGATTCCTTAATGACTGATTGCTGTGTCTAGATTATGTCAATTAAGTTAAGCTGTGTATAATTATTAAGATGATGATTCCTTAATGACTGATTGCTGTAACTGGATGATGCTAAATTGAGTCAAGCTGTGTATTCAGTTATGTATAAATACCTCTGCTGTCCTACAATAAAGCAGCTCCTGCTGTATCAACCTTCACAAGTTGCTTGTCACCCCCGGTTATTTTGCCCAGCCAGACTGCAGCATACATGATCAATTTTATTCCTGATCAATTTCTACATTCTCGAATTATTGAGTTTCAGTGCTGAATTCTATATGGGTCTGTGAAATAAACCTGTTAACGATTCTCAATCTTCTAAAGCTTTAGCGATATGTTTGCCTTCTTTTTAAAATTTCCATCTTTTATCTGTGGAAGCAGTTCCCTTAAAATATTCAGATGAATATGAACCACATTCTTTTGTGATATGATTAAGGGAGATCCATGAATATTAGTAATAAGAACTACCTTTGATTTTTAGATTCATGCCAGACTATGATTTTACAACATGTAAGTATCTTATTAAATACTTACAACAAGAGAAGAAAATTGATATTATTAACACTCCCTTTTTAAGGATAAAGAAATTTGGGTTTTGATAAGTAACTTGTGCAAGGTCACATATTGAAAAGAAGTAGTAACAGGTCACCCTGACCTCCATAGAATCTTTTCTTTGCATCTTCTCTTGCTGTAGTCAAGATGTACCTCCATCCTAAGGACACTTTAGCTTCATGAAAGCGTCTAGACCTAATGAAGGAATCTCAGATTGCAGAAGGCCCTGGAGAGTCTGAATCCCTAAGCTGGTGTCTGAAATTCCTACTCACTCTCTCCCCAGTGCCCATCCTTGCCAGCAGCTTAGGCTCAAAATTTTGCTTTCAACTCACAATTCAGATTGAGCTCAGGGGTTTAGTTGATTGCTGACTTTTTGGACCCTGGAGATTTCCTTTACTGTCTTGAGTCCAGCAACATTTAATAAATATCCTTATCATAATTCATTCAGTAATATTGTTGTTGAAAGGCCATCTGCAGTCTGCCAGAAGTGAGATCCATGACTTCTACTGTCAGGTTTGACGCTTGAAAGAGCCAGATTTCCTTAAGCATATTTTTTTGTGCTCTTCACTTTGGAAGTCATTTAGTTGAAAATGAAAAAGTAACAATTAAAAAGAAAAGATAACAGAACACAGATGAACTCTTACCCGCAGATATGCTATCAGCTCTTCACACTGCATCTGTCCCCCTCTAGAAATTGTCATGTTCTTGGAGTGACCCGGGGACCTGCTATGGAGAAACAGTGCTCGCCGAATTGCTCCCTTTTGCTTGAGTTTATCCAAAAGAAGCTCCACCTGGAAGTCTATATAAATCAAAGGATTTATAACCAATGTATTCTTTATGGACTTACCTCTGTCCTAGATATCTAGAATTTTCATGTCAACAGAGATATTTATTTCTGAGAAGTGATCTGCTTCAAATTCATTAAAAATATCTTTTAATGAGGGACACTACAACATATTAACACTGAATAAATTTACTATAATAATTAAATAATTAAGCCAACCATCCCCGAAGCAATATCATATGTAATTCCAAATAACAATGGCAGTAAAATATAAAAGGAAAAATTCTTTTAGTTTAAGCTGTAGGAAGTCCAGGGGGTGAAATATATGTGAATTAAGACTTTCACTCTCGGAGGAGGATATAGCTCAGTGGTTGAGTAACTGCTTTAGTGTGCCTAAGACCTGGGTTCAATCTCCAGCATGGGCAAAAAAAAAAAAACTTCTGCCATTAATCCAAGTGACAAGACTCTTTGTCGATTTTGATTAAGTACTCATTAATTGGAAACCACGTCATATTAAAACTATGGTAAACAATTTGTACCAATTGAAATTCCTCCTTTGAAGGAAGCTACCATATCAAATGGTCAGATAAACATGTCCCTCATGAAGTAAGTGACTGTTTGATGGGTTAAGAATCACGTAAACATGACTGTGCAGAGTCGGAAGCACAGTTGTTACAATTACCACTTTCTAAAATTCAGTTCTTTAAGTAGTTTCTTAAAAGCAGATGAGAGTATGAATTTTTAACACAACAGCTCTCTTTTCAAGTTTCTTTAAATACTGATTGACTTTCATTTCAAATTTAGGTGAAAACTCAGGGCTATTGTGATTCATGTTTGGTTCTACTCAGTCACACTGCTCTCCTTGCAGTCTCTCAAACACACAGACACACTCCTTCCTTGGACTTCTTTTTTTTTTTTTAGTTGTTGATAGACCTTTATTTTATTTATTTATTTTTATGTGGTGCTGAGGATCGGACCCAGTGCCTCTCACATGTTAGCCAAGTGCTCTACCACTGAGCCACAACCCAAGCCCTTCCTTGGGCTTCTTGAAATTGCCATTTCTTCTGTGTGAACCACTCTTCTGTTCCTGCAGGTCTCTATAGAGAAGTTACCTCCAGTGAGGTCCTGCTGGACTCACTCACATGAACACCTGCCCAGCGGCTTCAGTCCTCCTCTTTGCTTTGTTACTCATTAGCACCTGTCACTATCTGATGCACTGGCAAATTCTGGCAATATTGATTAATATCCCTACTTTGCTCTCAGGGTCACATCAATTGTTTTAGGAAAGGAAGTACACTCTGCTGGGTAGATTAAATTTAGTGAAGAAAACATTTTCTCCTCACTATTCCTAAATCATCTCTATTTCTAAGATAGTTCGGTATTTCCCAGAAATATAAAGCTAAATATCTCAGTCTACTGAGATATCTATCATCTACTCATAGCAAGGATACTCATTCCCCTCAGAGTTCATCTTACATCATTAAATGCTTACCTTTCTAAAAGCTGTATTTATATATGGTGTGTTATATTTGCTATTTTGTGGGCTAGTTTGCACACAATGTCCATTAATAAATATATTATTTCTCAAATGTATTTACTGGCTTAATAGTTGCCAAAGTAATTAGGCTGCCATCTTAAATGTGTTTAAGCATAAACATTTAGTTTAAAAACAATAACAATTTGAGTTACTAAGTATCCTATAACATTTTTAAGTGCTGTATATATAAGAGTATTAAAATACTTTTGATTTTTCATAGGACACTTACTAAGTTTCCTTGGAAGTGCTCCTTTGCCATCTGCCTTTAAACAGAACCTGACATTAAAACTGTAGGAAAAGAAAGTATATACATGTAAATCCTATAATCCAGCGTAGATATATTTAATATCATTCAAATCTCACATTTCTTATACACTCATCCCTTGTTATCTGTAGGGGATTGGTTCTGTGAACTACCCTTCAGCCTCCACAGATACCCAAATCAGTAGATGCTCGTTAATAAAACAGCACAGAATTTACATATAACCTACAGATATCTTCTTTCATACTTTAAGTCATTTCTAGATTACCTTTAAGTCATATCTACTTATAATACCTCGTACAATGAAAATGCCATGTAAATAGTCATTCTACTGTATTGTCAGGGAATACACAATAATATAGGAAATAATAAGTAAAAACTAAAAGTATGTACATGTTCAGTACAGACGATAATTTTTTTTTCCTATCTGCAGTTGGTTGAAACCAAGAATGCAGAAACGGCAGGTGCAGAGGGTTGATGGTGCATAGTTAAGGCCAGGAAGCCCGGCATCTTTCTTCATGTCTTAATATTGTTCTTAAAACATGAAACTACCCAGACTAACCTAACTCATTCTTCAGTAAGTTAAACATGTTTCCTTTCAGGGTACCTCGATGAGAAAAATAATTTCCTAACCTCCATTCAAGTTTACAGAACCTGTTGATAAATCTAAATAAGGGAAATGCCAGTTTAGATTTAAAATAATGTGTTCTATAATTAAAAAAAAAAAAAATCCACTGAAGCATCCTTTAATTACCAAGCTTCTCTAGAGGATGTGCTTTACAATATCTTTTTTTTTTTTTTAATTTTTTATTGTTGGCTGTTCAAAACATTACATAGTTCTTGATATATCATATTTCACAATTTGATTCAAGTGGGTTATGAGCTCCCATTTTTACCCCATATACAGATTGCAGAATCACATCAGTTACACATCCATTGATTTACATATTGCCATACGAGTGTCTGTTGTATTCTGCTGCCTTTCCTATCCTCTACTATCCCCCCTCCCCTCCCCTCCCCTCCCCTCTTCTCTCTCTGCTCCCTCTACTGACATTCGTTTGTCCCCCTTATATTATTTTTCCCCTTCCCCTCACTTCCTCTTGTATGTACTTTTGTATAACTCTGAGGGTCTCCTTCCATTTCCATGCATTTTCCCTTCTCTCTCCCTTTCCCTCCCACCTCTCATCCCTATTTAATGTTAATCTTCTTCTCATGCTCTTCGACCCTACTCTGTTCTTAGTTACTCTCCTTATATCAAAGAAGACATTTGGCATTTGTTTTTTAGGGATTGGCTAGCTTCACTTAGCATAATCTGCTCTAATGCCATCCATTTCCCTGCAAATTCTATGATTTTGTCATTTTTTAATGCAGAGTAATACTCCATTGTGTATAAATGCCACATTTTTTTTATCCATTCATCCATTGAAGGGCATCTAGGTTGGTTCCACAGTCTAGCTATTGTGAATTGTGCTGCTATGAACATCGATGTAGCAGTGTCCCTGTAGCATGCTCTTTTTAGGTCTTTAGGGAATAGACCGAGAAGGGGAATAGCTGGGTCAAATGGTGGCTCCATTCCCAGCTTTCCAAGAAATCTTCACACTGCTTTCCAAATTGGCTGCACCAATTTGCAGTCCCACCAGCAATGTACAAGGCTTTACAATATCTTAACAGGTCATGAAATCAGTGTAGTTGGCTGTATGCAGCATCTTAAAAAAGTGTATACAATAAAGAAAGTTGATGTAAGTAATGGGTTTATAGGATTATGGTGCAAGGTTTATTTCTAGCTGTGTACCATGGTCAAAATTAGATGAAAGCTAGTACTTCAATTAGTGCATTTGAAGCCTTCTAATTATTAGCATAATTACAAGCATATTATTAGCATCTTCACAGAAACATAAAAAATGAGTGAAGGAAAGAAAGGCAGTAAAACTGAAAGCCAAAATCTTGAAAATAATTTGATTAACAATCAATAAAAATTAAGAGCAATTATTATGGAATGATTAATGTAATCCCATGAATAAACTAAATTTTTCAAGATTTTAATGACCATAAAAATTCAAAACAAAATCAGGAAAATATCTATCATTAGCTCTTTTTAAATAAAATTTTCCTGTTTACCAATCATTTTCCTCTTCTTCTATAATTCTTTGCAATTTTTCTGTGCAAGTAAAGAATGTGAACAGTGTTCCTCTAAGTGATGTTAAAGTACACAGGGCCAAAAACTTCCAATAGTTTTGTATTTATTTTCACATATGAGAAAGATATTGTCTTTTCCATTGTGGGCTTTTTTTTTTTTTTTTTTTTTTACTTGTAGATGGACACAATACCTTTATTTCGTATTTTTTTTTCTTTTAATGTGGTGCTAGGATTGAACTCAGTGCTTCACATGCATGCTAGGCAAGCGCTCTACCACTGAGCCACAACCCAGCCCTCTCCATTTTATTTTTAAAATACTTTGAGATAAAGTATGAGTCAGTTTAAAGGAAACTTAGGAAAATTATAATACAGGTAGAAAGAAAATATAGCAAATATCCTGAGTATCACACACATGATAAACTTGGAAAACAATGGGGCAGAGAAGTCAGACACTAGACTTATGAAAAAATATTGTATTTTTCTTTGGAAACCAGAAAAGAAACAAGTAAAAGATCAAAATATAAGGGCAAAGTAATTTTACCATACAGCCATACAGATTTGAAATCTGAAAAAGAACATCATCTTTTAAAGATTTCATTTAAAGGGTTAGGTTTATGGCTCAGTGGTAGAGCTCTTTCCTAGACTATGGGAGGCACTGGGTTCGATTCTTAGCAACACATATGAATAAATAAAATAGGTCCATCAACAACTAAAAGAAAAAAAAAATTTAATTAAAAAAAGATTTCATTTAAAAGGGCCTGTTTAGAATGAAATTTTTATAAAATGAGTTCTGAGATCTTGTTAGCTTTTTCTTCTTTTTAAATATATTCATTGACCATATATAATTCTTTAAAAAATATAGTAATTTATTGAGTATTTCTGGAGCATTCTAGAAATTTTCCTTGGAACACTATTTCTATAATCCAATCTATGGCCAAAAAATGGAGTGTATCCACAGAAACTGCTTTAGTAATATTTTAGCCCTGCCATCTTAATTTTTAATTGTTCTTACAATAATCGAACCATTAATCATAACTATTATTAAACACATATCCTTACCAGGAAACTTTGAGAGCTGTCCCAGGCAATGGGCAGGTTTTATTGTCTTGATTTAAAATGCTAGGATATACTTCAAGGCCAGCATTTACGGTGATAACAGGTCTGGCCCTGTTTTTAAAAAAGGGAAGAAAAAAAGTTCAAACTTAGAAGCTGAAACTTGGGTTGATCCCAGCATTTTAGGTTCACATTCACCATGATACAGTAACATCTAAAGCATTCTTTCTAAGAGCAAAAAACATTGAAACAAACTTTTAAGTGTAAGATGACCAACTGCCTCGGTTTGCCCAAAACTTTCCCAATTTCAGCACTGAAAGTCCTGCATCCTGGGAAATTGCTCAGTTCCAAGAAAAGCAGGACAATTGGCCAACAAATCTGAACTCAGTCCATTAAGTAAGTTACAAGGTCCCTACTTAATGCAATGCAACATGAGTGTCATAAATCTATCTGTATTGACATAAGATAATCTCTAAGATACATCCAAGATGTAACTGTAGTAAAAGGAAAAGAAAATCTCACAATAAATAAAGAATGTCTACAGACACACATACATTTATGCACATGATCTCTTTTAATACATGAGTATTTTTTGTAGGACATACCTAATAAACTAGTAATTGACATGAGAAAATATATTTTTATTCTATGATCTTTACGCATTGTTTGAATATGCACCACATGCAGGTATTACTTCATTAGCAGCAATTTTAAAGCTAAAACAATAAAATACAGTTAAGCACTCCTAATTAAAAAAAAATCCAAAATCTGAAACTTTTTGAGCACAAACATAATGCTCAAAAGGTTGTGGATTTTGAACCATTTCATATTTCTTATTATAAGGGATGTTCAACTGGTAAAGTCTATGTAACTATTTCAAAATTAGAAAAATTCTAAAATCTGAAACATTTCTGATCCCAAGAATTTCAGATAAGGTATTTGCAACCTGTAAATATAGTTTTCCAAATTCCAAACATCCAAGTTTACATCTTGTACAAAAATACAGTAGACTCAAGTCAATGAGATTGCCTCAAAACGACAAATCCCTGAAATCTGTAAGTACACACATTCCCCCAAAGCTGTAATTAGGTTGAGCCATCACAAACTCTACCACCTAGCATCGATGTTAGGTTTCCTACCATGCTTAATCTCCATCTGTAGAAATATTAAGCTACTTGAGATACCAGTTGATATTCTATGAGAATTGATGAAATAGAGAAAACTGGTAATATATATGAAGTTGGAAAATAGAGAAATATGAATTTTTACACATTTTTCTAACAAAAAATATTCATGTGGGGATCCATTACATAATCACTGTGGTCACAGAATACTGGGCCACAAACACCAGGCTGGTTTCCTACCTCTTATAGGAAAATACAGCCTATACATTTGATGTGGGGAAGGGGCTCACAATGGAACCCAGGATCTGGTACCTGCTGGGTTAAGTGCTCTACCACTAACAACATATCAGCCCCTATCCATACGGTTTTTAAAGAGAAATGAAAAATATAGGAGAATGTCTCTGAACAAAATTTAAGGACAATAAGCAAAAACTCTGAACATTTTTCTAAATAAAAAAGTCTATACTGTTCTTTTCTTTGAGACTTCCTTGTATAAATACTCTTTACCCACAGCAAATCCTGAATAGAAAGAACAAACAAGTTTTATCCTTACTCTAAGAAAATTAAAACTGAAATTCAAACACTGGGACTTAACTAAAAGAATTTTTTAAAATTCAAAATATTCCCATAGTACAGAACATGAAACATACCTGTATAACACAGCTCGATCTACACCAAAAGCTCCTACAATTAAGTCTTAAGCAAAAGCAAAAGAATATGTTAGTAATAATAATTGTTTTTAAAGCTTATGTATCATTCTAGAAATGCTTAATGCACATAAGATTTAAACATTTTCTCAAAACTAAAAGGTTCTAAGATAAGATATATGAGGATAAAACACTGGAAAACTATAACAAGTGTTCATCATTGCAAATGCTCATCATAAACCAGACTTTCATTCAGGTAGATAAAACCTTTTTCTTGGCTATTTCATAAAAAGAGCACCAAAAAGGAAGTGTATAGCCAGCAAACATATACACTCCCCAAAAACAAAAGCTTTACAGATACCTGTGTATTTATACTTTTATTATAAAATTTTCCGCCAGTTCTCTTGTTTTAGAAACAAAACCAAGAAAGCACATATACATATGTTGAATATGATAGCAGGCAGCATTCAAATCAGCAAGAATAAAATACATTAATTTTTATACATAACAGCATAACTGGTCAATGATTTAAAAAAACTGAAACCACAGATGCATTTTACAATGTATCCAAGTTCAATCTAAGGAAACCTTTTCTAAGCAGAGAAGCATACAAGAGCAAATAAAGACAGACAGATTGAATTATATGAAAATTCAAAACATCTTTATGCCAAAGACACAAACATGACAAACTGGGAAATGTATAAAAGAGCTAAGAAGTTAAAAATTGTCAATATTTAAAGCACTGCACAAGTTTAAAAATGAAGGAATGAAAGAAAGAGAAATTGCATCTCAATTGAAAAGGAGAGAAAAAAAACGTAAAAAGGAAATTCCAAAAGTAAGTATACAAATAAACAACAATGCTTATCTTCATTAATAGTTAAAAACTGTTAACTGAAACAACATAATATTATCTGTGGCTCAGGAGGCTGAGACAGGAGGATAATGAGTACAAAGCCAGCCTCAGCAATGGTGAAGCATTAAGCAACTCAGTGAGACCCTGACTCTAAAAAAATACAAAATAGAGCTGGGGAGGTGCTCAGTGGTCCAGTGGCCCTGAGTCCAATCCCAATACCAAAAATAAATAAATAAATAAATAAAAATAATAATAATAATAATAATACATCTACTAGGTACTCCAAATTATTTTAAAAGAGGTGCAGTGTGGGAAAATGATTATTTTTTTACTGCTAGTGTTTTTGAAAAAGTTGACAAAAGCCATTTTGTAGAGGAAATGGGATTATTTTTTAAGGCTGTTCATAAAGTACACATCTTTGACATACCAATTCTAGAATTTTGTCCTAAGGAAATATTCAGTGGTATGCAACAGAATGACATGTAAAGATATAAATGCCCTCAAATAAGGTAACATTAGATATGATATAGCTATTTATTAGAGAGAAACATAAAATTTATGTTTTAGAAGAAAAATAGGGGAATTGTTTCTGATACTTTAAGAAAAAAAATATATAATAAAAAGTTTACAAAGCATGATTCTGCTTTGTTAAGAAATATGTATGAATGCAAGCCAGGCGTGGTGGTGCATGCCTCTAATCCCAGCAGCATTAATCCCAGGAGGATCAAGGGTTTAAAGCCAGCCTCAGCAAAATCAGGCCCTAAGCAGGTCAGTGAGATCCTGTCTCTAAATAAAAATGCAAAAAGGGCTGGGGATGTGGCTCAGTGATTAAGTACCCCTGGGTTCAATCCCTCGTACCAAGAAAAAATAATAATATGAATGCATAGGAAAAATATGCTTTGCTGTATTTTCTAAAAGTTCTATAACAAATATTTTATTATAACATACAACTGGAAATAATGCCAATTTATAGATAAGAGTAAACTTTATGTCTTATTTCTAGAAACCTTTCAACATACTTGTATATTGAGCTTCTATTAACTATTTCAACAACAAAGGTGATCTACATTCTCTCATTTTTTTAGAATAAAAAGAAGACCTATTTTGATCCTGGATTCATTGTAATACTCCAAGTATATAAGAGCCTGAAAAAGGTTTTGCTTGTTCTAATGGACTAACCCAGTGAGCAAGTTTGAGCAAATGACTTCCTCAATCTCTTCTCACATATAGAAAAATGTCCTCATAGTAACCTAACTTAGCTTGTGTCCCCTCACAAGCCTTATTAAATAAATAATTTACCTTTAAAAAAAAAATCACATTAATTAGTCAAATCCACAAAAATGCTACATCATTAAGCACAAAAACAATGGCTAACATTTAAAAACTTGGAATGAGCACTTGGTTTTTGTTTATAGCTTCTACAACATTTTTCTGACATTTTATTATAGACCTCAAGACAATGAAACAGACTCAGAGTTAAGTGTTTCATATTGTATGCCACCAGGAAACAGCTGCCTTTCTTCCTGTCCCCTGTACTGAGAACAGTGTCTTCTGTACAGGGGAGGCCTGATCAATGCTTGGAATATTCAACTGAAATAATTTGTAATATAAACCAAGAGAATGGCAATTAGTACTCTTTGCTATTTGGACTGAAAAAGTGCACGAGCCACATGCATTTACAGAAAAGCACCTGGATATCCATTCTTGTCTATGTCTGTGGCTCCCTTCATGGAATAGCCAAAGCTTGGTGGCATGCTCTGTGCAGCCCACTGCCCTTCGAGGATCTGAGATGGCACTGTGTTCAAGCCTGTTGATCTTCCATTGAAAATATAAACAATTCCTTTTTTATCTTCACCCCCATAGGGAGCAGCAATTGCAATATCTGTGGGAGGAAAGGAGAGTGAGGATGAGAGAAGAAAAGAGAAGGGTAACAATGATTCAGGAGAAAGGGGACAGGGAAGATGGGCAAGACAGAGAGAAGGAAGTCTTAGTGTTTACAATTATTTACATAGTGATCTTAATATTTACAGAAAGCTACTGGGGAATGAGACTGATCGAATTATGTTATGTGCATATATAAATGTGCCATAATGAATCCCACTATTAAGTATAATTATAATGCACAATTTAAAAAACTGAAAAAAAAATTTAGAACCTCTTGATCATATTAAATATTGATTCAAAATTCAACAGAGTACTTTCTATTCAACAGTAACGATCTAATTCAAGGAGATTCGAGCAAAACTATGTAGAAATGACATTAATTCAGAGCAGATATTTTTGGATCTGACCCTGGGCAAACCACTTAACCTTTATAGACTTAAAATGCTTTATTTTTAAAATTAGGAGGTAGAGAGTGAGGTGGGCATTTGTCAAAAGATTCATCTAAAGTTCATTAGTTCTCAAATTTCTAGCTTATTTAGCTATGCATAGCTTTTGTTTTTCCTAAGCAGAAGTAAATCCAGCTCAGAAATTTGAAGGTTATAACTTCATGCTGATCTTGCTCAATTTATAATGAAATGACATAAACAAATAGAATTTAAAATTCTTAAAAAAAAAAACTCCAAAATATCAAATGGTCACTATGATCTTTATAAATTCGAAGATATATTATAAACCCATCCACTTCTCTGTCTCTGCTGCTACCACCTTAGAGAAGCCCTTGCCAGGCTCTGCCTGCACCCCTGGAGCAGCCACTCAAGTGGCCTCGCACTTCTAGTCTTTCCCCATGGCTCATTCTCTTCAAAGCCGGCCAGTGTTAACCTTACTGTCTCAGATCCCCCTTCTTGATAGCCTTCAATTATTTCTCAAAGCATTTAGAATAAGACCTAAGTCGTGCCTGGTATGTCTTCTGCTCACTTTGAAAATCTCCTCTCCTACCCTCTCTACCCTCCTCCTTTTTGTTTCATCCACTATTCCCAGCAATCTTGGCCTTTTTTCTATTTCCTAAACACACCAAGTTAATCTCTGGGCATACCTTTGCTGTTTTCTCGTCCAAACAGCTTTTGCTCGACAGCTTTTCAAGCCTTGCTGCTTCCGCTCGCCATAGATCATAGATGAAATGCTATCCTGTCAGTGAGGCCTTTCCTAGAAACTCTAAGAGGCCGAGTACTTGTCCCTCAGGACCCCTACTATATTGTACTTTCTTGGAACTCTTGGAACTCCCTATCACAGTACTTTGTCTTAAAAAAAAAAAAAAAGCCCAGTCACACTACCTGCATTTCCTCATTTTTTTGTTTACTTACTCTATGAATCTCCATAAAACAAGCTTCATGAGATCAAGGACAAATATCTGTCTTGCATCTAATGGTCCCTCTGTACCTGCCACACCAAATAGCCTCCAGTTCCTTAATGTATCCAAACTGTTTTATTCCTGCTTAATGACAACCCCTCAGACACCAAAGATACCTTGACCTCTCACCCATTGTATAAGACCATTATGCCCACTGTGATAATCACATTCTAGTGTTTATTTTTTTCACATATACATTGCCACTACATAAAGACATGGGTGGGTTCATGCATTTTAAAGAGGGAAAATGTATATGTGAAAAAATGGGCTCATTTTCAGCACCTACCATAACATTTGTTCTTAATGGGAACTAAGAATGTACCATCCTTTAAAATTCAGTATTTAAATTATTTAAGAATCTCTCTGTTATTCTTTTTGAAGTTTTAAAAGGTAAATATAATTGCTAAATTAATATGTGCATTAAAAAGTATTTATTAAAATATAATTTCCCAACAAAAGATGGCTCTAAAGTTAAGATATTATTATTACAAATTATCTTTAATTTTTCTAATCCCTTCAATATTTTATACATGCTTATTATCTTTTCCCTTGGCTGTCATTTTTGAAAAGCACTATGTTTTCATGCAATCAATTTTCTCCTTTGATCATTTTAGTTGCTCTCTTCTGGTTGTTTTTTTTTTCCTCCCCCCTGCTTTTCTGAAAAGATGTTGACAAAAACTGCACAAAATTACCCTGGAGCTATGTAAAATCGTGGAATATAAATTTATTGTTTTGCCTTTCATAACCCTCTTGACAGTACCCAGTGTTTTCCTGATGAGGATAGGTAGAAAGAGTGGGATACAGAAATACAGAAGCAATGACACTTAATGTTATCAGCCATGAACAAAAATAGAACCATGTTATATTATAATTAATGATATATTTACACAAATCCAGCTCAGACAATTTTCCACTAAATTCCTTATCTTTCAAGAACTACTACTTGGGACAATAAGACCTAAGGTAAAACCTTGGAAGACCATCAACACCCTCTATGGAATCTCTCTCTGGAAGTAAAATCTCTTTATAAAAAAATTCTAAAACTTCAATGTTTTTAGCTGTTGTTTATATTTTTTGTGTTGGCAGATCATATCCTATTATTAAAATCTAATAAGAAGGATGAGATAATGACTGGATCACAATATCAAGGAAACTTCCATAAATTGGTTAGAATACCCTTGACAGAAAACAAGTCCAGGCTTTCCCAGAAAGCTTGGGAGACAGAGGCCCAGTGATATAGCAAACAACTCATCAATTTTATGCAAAGCAGAACCTCAAATATGGGTCTATACTTTCTAGGTAGTAGTTGTTATTAGTAAGTAATGGTTTGGCGTGTTTTACTGTATTTTTTTCATGTTTTATTATGAGCCGTTTAACGCAGCTTTATTTGATTTATGTTAAGTTATCTTGGTGTCTAAAATCTTCCAGATTATTTTAGGAAGCAAAGTGTGCCTCTGACCTATTGTTCACTAATGTTGAATATTTCTAGGGTTAATCAAGATGACACTTGAGTGGTATATAACATACAACTACCCATGAGGCAGGACTGGAGCCCAGAGTCAAATAACACTTTTCTTTCCACTAGAGAGTAAGTCATCTGTACTTCTGGAGTGTTTTTCTTAATTAATTTCCTTTACATTTTGGGGAAGCATATCCCTAAACACTGTTGGTTATACAAACACACCAACAGTTCATCTCTCTATCCTGTGATCCCTAGAAAGATTTTTAATAGTATTTTTTTAATCTTGGTAACTTGTGGCATATATTTCATGTTTCTGAAAAGAGTTCTATAGTAAAAGCCAACTTTGTTTTTTAAAGATACATATAGCTATTGAAATGATACTATTATAAAAACAATGGACCTTTTACATGTCCCCATGAAGAGACAGAGAGCCTGGCTCAGAAAGTCTTAGACACAATAAAGTTATGACTTTAAAAATATTAGTGGCAGCTCATACTTATGAGATTAGAGTTAGAATCAGCACTTCCTTGACACTGTGCTGGGAGCATTATTTTTGTTTTTCATTTTTTCACTTGTAATCAAATGGACAGTAGAGGGCACTGCCGTTTAGCAGGAGGCAGAGAGAAAAATCAGCAGCTGGCACTGGGCTCCACAGGAATAAAGCTTTCTTCCAGAAATTAACCATCTGACACTCTAACTTGAAGCTTCATGAATAATACCTCAGGAGAGCTGATTTTTTGAAAACTTCGCTCTGATCTTTAACGAAAAAAAAGACAACCTGACTTTAAATATCCTATCTTTCTAGGAAGGTTCACTCATGCAAACTTCTCCAGATGGGTGCTAGGACTTTTCCCAGGTGGACACAGAGCATCCGGAACCCACAGTTGCTGGATTTCAATCTTACCATTGAAGCCATCCTGGTCCAGATCTCCCAAAGGAGCTATGGCACTGCCAAACCGTGCAAAGACCTCAAACCCGTTCAGTTTTGTAGTCTGGAATTCTCCGGAAGCTTTCTGCAGAGACACGGAGACCTGCCCCACCTCTTGGAGTTTGCCATCAGAGCCTCGATCCATGAAAAGTGGTGCTCCAATAAACACATCTGCATAACTGAAAGCACAAAATCTTCTCACCAGAGAAAGATTGGATTCCATCTCTTAGTAAGCATTTTCTTTCTCATTAAAACGCTGCTTCCCTCTTTGCACCTCTCTCATGGCTGTGCTGAAGCACAAAATTATCACAGTAGTTATTTCAAAGTCAAACCTTGCTTCAGCTCTTTTAAAAATCTATAAGTAGTTCCTAAGCTTACTTTTTTTTTTTTGCATTATAAACACTATTGAAAAAATTGTGACCAGCATAGAGTTTGCCTAATATTCATGATTAAGGTTGCTTCAAATTAATTCCACAAATAGAAAGAAAATTAGCAGGAAGGGGATCAAGAAACAAAAGAAAAAAATGTTTAGTTTTAGTAGAGCATTCATAAACACGAAAGGAAACAGTTTTCTAGAAACATTTTTTTAAACTTACTCATCCCCATTAATGTCAGTGGCAGCGACAGAAAATCCGAAATATGCAGCCATCTGAAGACAAAGATAAAAATGAAATGTTTATACTTCATCTAACTGGCTTAGACAATATTTATTATTAATATTTACATGTATTACACGTACCACATTGAAACCCTTACTCTTTTCTCTGCACTTAAGGGCTTCAATCTGAATCTCTTTTGTTTATTACACAACAAAGACAATCAGTTAATGAGTCTTGTTTATTTTGCTAGATTTATGGGAAAAACATTCCACACACATCATTCCAGTATCTTCAACATGTGCCCAAGTATAGTCAATTTTCCTTCCCAGCTCTATTATCTCACTTCCTCTGCATTCCCCCAAAACACAACAGTCAGACACACTAACAGAAAGACAGATGGTCACAGACAGACATTTTAATTGAACCAAAAAATAAGTTTCATACACATATATATATACACATATATGGATGCCTATGCAGTACGGACAATTGACAATAGCTATTAATGACAGATAATAATTGGCTTTCCAGTATGAAACCACTACTATAGAAAAATTACTGTTTGGAAAAAATATAGAAAGGAGCTCATTTTTGTCTCATATTTCATTTGTCAGATGATTTTGCTTTTACTTGTCAGATGATTTTGCTTTTCGATTATACATGGTTAAATGGGTGTGGGCTTATTATGGACTTATAGGCATAGGTAAAAGAAATGCCTTTCCCACCACAGAGGACTAGTGCCCATCACAGTCAGAGCAGCCTGGCTAGAAATAAATGTGAAAAGGAAGTTCTAAAGACAGGCCCACACGCAAAACAAAATGAGGACAAAGGACAGGTTAAAGATGACCAGAGTGAAGAAAGAATCCACACACTGAAAAAGGAAAGTTAGGAATGCTTCCAAAATTTAATTTGGAAGTCTGGAATTCTCCTGAAGCTCTCTGTAGAGACACGGAGACCTGCCCTACCTCTTGGAGTATGCCATCAGTGGCTTGATCAGAGCATCTTATAAGGGAGATTCTCACATTATCTATTTTCTTTTCTTTTTTTTTTTTAATATTTATTTATTTATTTATTTTTAGTACTCGGCAGACACAACATCTTTGTTGGTATGTGGTGCTGAGGATCGAACCCGGGCCGCACGCGTGCCAGGCGAGCGCGCTACCGCTTGAGCCACATCCCCAGCCCCACATTATCTATTTTCAATTGATATAGTGTAACCAAGAAAAGTGAAAGGTATATTCTGTACTTGATGACAAGATCAGAGCTTGTGTGTTTAAGTACTCAGAGTTTGGGGTACCATGTTGATGTGTGACTGGAAAATAACAGAATAATAGTTGCAGGCTTTTATGTTTGTCCTGAAAGTATAAAGGACGGCATTTACTCAGGGGAGTTTGATCCTGAGCACTATGGTTGAAGTATTTTCATTGGATTCTCACAACTATGCCACATGCCTATCTATAAAAAAACAAAAACAAAAACAAAAAAACAACTAAACAGTTAAGAAAGAATGTTTTGTGCAATGCAGTAGCAAACAAATCATGGATGATCCAGGTCGTTACTCATCCAAAGCCCATGTTTTCTAGCCCCTCCCCACATAATAGCTGGAAAGAATGAAGGAAGCTTCATGAAGACATGTCAGCATCCAGAGACACAGGTCATCCGACAGGACACTCTGCTTGAGCCAAAGAAGTCACAACAGCAGAAGAAGACAATCACCCCTGAAATAACCCTAAACACCAATCAACTACAGGCCTTTTGTGTTGCACAGCCACCCTGGTTGCCGCACAGATGGAAGAGGTTTCTGGAGACCAGGGTTCTAGTTTCTCAGCCTATTAATCCTCTCCCAAAACCTAGCCCTCAGGTGAGCATGTAGGCTGGAATCCCAGAGCTGCAAACCACAATGAGGTGTTTTTCTTTTTTTCTCTACTTAACTGTTTGTTTTTTTTTTTATCACTGCCAACTTATTATTTAATTCTGAGATATACAATATTATAAAATGTCTCTACTTGTAAAGAATGCCTAGTACTTAAAAGAACTACATTTTAATTGAAGAATATTTTATTTCATGTAGTACAAACCAGGTTTGCTTGTAATATCTATAATATGTAAAACTGTGCCATGCTGTTTTGCCTCTAATAAAATTAAGATATAGATCATTCCTTAAAGGGAATTGAATGCCATCAGCATAGAAAAGTTTTTCTGAACTTCCACAAAGAAAGTTTTTGTAGTTTTATGTGTGTGTAATTTGATTTTTTATTTCCTAAAAAAAAAAAAAGAAAGAAAAAAAGAAAACAAAAAAACAAAGCCATGATAATCAATTACAAAAGCTAAAGTTTTGCTTAAATTACTTGGCTAAAGCAAAGGTTAAATGTATAAAGCCTATCTTATACCTAAAAATTAAATATTATAGAATCATCACTCCATTTTTATATCACAAAGCAAAGTTTTAAGACATTAGGGAATGTTGAGTGAAAAAAGCAAGACACAAAAATTTAAATAAACCACTTTTTGTTTACACACACACACACACACATACAAACGAGAAATACACCATAATGACAGTTTGATGGATTATCTGTTTGACTGGATGATAGATATCTCTTATACTTCATCTCCCACAATTTCTCTAATGAATATGTACTTTTGTAAGGATGATGTTTTTAAAAGCATACCTGCTCACCAGTAAAATTGTGCAAGGAGGACATGTTTTTCCCATCATAAATATAAACCTGTGTAGAAAAAAATATAAGCACATGAAGTATAGTAAAATAAAAGGTAACACACAGATTTTTAAAAACAATTTTCATCTCTCCTACCATGCCCAGAGTCCTTGCTGCTCTTGGAACTCCCGAAACAAAGTCTGAAAAGAACAACAAAAAATAAATAAATGAACATGTCTTCAATTTTAAGACCAACATTGGAAACTGAAGAAGCAGCTTAAAGTTTTGTTTTATAACTTTAGTAGAAAATGAGAGATTTTTTTAAAAATTGATATTCCAGGGGCTGAGGCTGTAGCTCAGTGATAAAGTACTTGCCTCGTATGTGTGAGGCACTGGGTTCAGTCCTCAGCACCACATAAAAATAAATAAAGATACTGTGTGTTCATCTACAACTAAATAAACATTTTTAAAAATTGATATTCTATAATAAAAAATAGCATTTTAACTACTAAAATCAAAATCTGAAAAATGCAGAAATCATCTCAAGTACTCAAATAAATGCACAGGAACCCTCAAATCACTGTAATCTTCCTAAGCAAGAATTAAGATAATGTAACCTATGAATTAAGAAAAGTTATCCTTAAGTAATGAAAAATAATATAAAGCAAACTGAAATGGGGTAGGGGTGGCTGTGGCATAGAAGTAAGACCAAAGTTGGGCAAAGTCTATCTAAGACTGCTGCATTGAGCTCTGAAGGAACACTGGTACACAGAGGAAGCAGATAACATCTTACAGACCTTGTCCAGAGGCTACGAATCAAACCTAAATAAAGAAGGAATGCTCCAAGAGGACAGAATTTGCTGAAAGCAAAGAGGAAGGAGCTGAAGAAATCACTGACTGTGGTTAGGGTGGGAAAGACACCAAGGCCCACAGCAGGCCTTGAACAACCAACAGAGAGAGAGTAACAGAGACCCAGAGTGGGACTCTCCTCAGTGTACTAACTCTTACTAGTATCTTCCATTTAAATTCCATAAAAATAGTTTCAAATTGCTGAAGAATCTCAATGTCACGTTTCAAACGCTTGATTTAAATTCTTTAAAGGATTAAACATAGTTCACATGCTTCATACCATCTATGCCATCACCGTTGAAATCTCCGACAGCCACTGAGTAACCTACATGGGAACCAAAGGTGAGACACCATGAGGGCAGGAGTTAACAGCGTCTTTGTTAAGTCAACTTCCCTTCAAAATATGATCAAGTAACTCCTTTAACTAGGTAGGGTTTTGTCTTTTGGGGTAACAGCTTAATAATGTATATGACAAATAAATTTTAAAATAATTCAGCTGGGCTCAGTGGCTCATACCTGTATTCCCAGCAGCTCAGGAGGCTGAGGCAGGGTGATGGAGAGTTCAAAGCCAGCCTCAGCAAAAGCAAGGTGCTAAGCAACTCAAAGAGACCCTGTCTCTAAATAAAATACCAAAAAGGGCTGAGGATGTGGCTCAGTGGTCAAGTACCCCTGAGTTCAATCCCTGCTATGCCCCCCCCCAGTGAATAAATAAATAAATAATTCTGTTAAATACTCAAGTACACTATCTGTATTAGAAAAATAGGACTATTTTATCCACTTTACAAAGGAATCTATTAAAATTAGGGTAAATTTGCAGTTCATCAAAAAGAGGAAATAACAGATTCTCTCAATCAGTAAGTACTAGTTCTGTTGAGTATGATTTGTTTTCATAAATAAAAGAGAAATTTAAAGAGAAAGAACAAATGTTAATAAATCCCCAAGACCCAAACTGTAGTTTAGTGAATACTACATACATTAAATAAAATAGTAGATATTTGTACATCTAATGTAGTTTAATAGTAGCTAAAAGTGCAGTAGTCAGACCACCTGGGTCTGAATCTCAAAACAGCAAATTATGTGTGACTTGGGGCAAGTGCTTTTGCCTCTCTGTTCCTCAGTGTTCTCACCTACAAAATGAGAATGACAGTGAACTTTCATAGACTTGTGAGGACTAAATGAGCAAATACACACAAAACATTAGGAATGCCTGGACCATAGTAAGCACATCTGAAAGGTTAGCCACTGTTATCACCACATAAACAATCACACTCTCCAATGTCCATTACTGAAATGTAACACAACCTAAGTACTCAATAACAATTTGAAATTGTACATTACTTATGCTTTAAAAAATCTTAATCTATTTCACATAAAAGATTTTTATCTATTTTAATAATAGAACAAATATAACCCTTTACCTACCCAAATAACTGTCATCAAAAATTGCTTGTGCAGTCCGAGTGGCTAACTGATTATTATACTTGATGCTATAAACTTTGGGGTCATATTTAGATACAATTTCTGCCACTTGATCCGAGATAAGCTGACCTGACCAAAAAATAAAAAAAGAAAAAAAATATATATATATATCTATACACACATACACACGTGCACATAAACATGTATATATAGGTAATAAATGATCTTCTACTGGGAACTCTATGATATAGACAATGAATACTACATACATTAAATAAAACAGTAGTAGATATTAGTACATCTAATAATTAGTCTTAATCCTCCTTTATAATGCTAAATTTGAAGTCAGAGATTCTTTAACTTAAAACTTTTACTGTGCAAGCCAAAACTTAAAATTATTCTCCATTAATAAAAAACTAAAAACACATATTTGGTCTTAATTTACCAAAAATTCAAAATAATGAAATCAAGAACTATTTCCCAACCAAATCTGTAAAAACAAACAACTACTGCAATGATTAAATACTGTTACCTTTATAATCAGAATAATCACGTTATTGATTTAACTAGTTATCTGAATGCCCTCATGAAGCAATCTGGATGGGTGAGCTCACTTTGTCTCACAACCTTAAATTATTAGATAGACATGGAATCCAGATGACTACACAAAAAGCAGATAACCTCCACCCCAAGAAAGGTTGGCTGATTTATTAAATACCACCTGCCTAAAAATTTTGATTTCTGCCGTTTTGAAAGAAACTCATAAGAGCTGAAGTTTTTGAGGTGGATCTAATTTGTTCTGTCATATGGGGCAGCACTTTCTAGGAGCTACTAGTTTATCCTCTATACCTAAACAAACTGAAAACATAGAAAAAATTCAATAAATGTTTTTTGAATCAAAGAACAGAGGAAAATGATAATCTGTTTAGAATAAAACATTACCATTTTTTTATGCAGAGGCAATTCCAAGATCTATTAAACAATTCTATCTAAAGTACCTATTTATCCAGGGTGAAATCTGTTGATTTTAATCTTATTAAAACAAAAGATTCTCTGCCAATTCACTCAGTTTTAGTCCTATATTCTAGACCACTTATAATAAAACTCTAATAAATATAGTATCTATTTGTCCTAATATATAATTAAACGGAAACACAAAAATATATGATGTAATAACTCAAGGTATTAAAAGAACAAGTCATTTAAAAAACATTCACATCTGTAACACCTAAAAAGAATTGCAGTCCTGAGAATCACAAAATCTAGCTTCCCTCACAGTTTTAGTTCTCAGGCATGACCATCAGTTGCTTCCTTCCCTTCTACTGAATGACACACCTAGTACAGAAGAAGAGGAAATCCATGTTTGTTTGGTTGTTTTTTCTTATTGGTAGGACAAAAGGCATGGCCTCCTGCATGCTGAGCAAGTGCTCTACACAGAACTACAAAACCCCAGGCCACAAGTCCATAGTTTTATAACTAACAGGAAAGTATTAACATCCTATTACTTTTTCATATGTATTTTAGAATACCAAGTTTTGTTTTTAAACAGTAAAACACAATTATAATATTCCTAGATCTCTTCCCAATAGACAGATAATTCATGGAAATTCAAATTTTGCTGTTCAGGGTAGTATATCTCACATACTCTTTTCTTCATCTCCTCCTTTGATTTCCCTTTCAACTTTTCATTTATTCCTATTATCATTCCTTCTTATTTCCCTTCCATCCCATTTTCCTTCAGCAAATCTCTCTTTGGCTTCTCTATTACTTTAATGCAAGCGAATGAGGTTCCTACAAAGAACCAAGTAAGGAAAGCATAGTGCAGAACATAAAAGTAAAATTCAGAAATTAAAAAGTACTTTCAAATCCATATATGCATAGGTTTTCCAATTCTTCCAAACACTGACAGTGTTTAAATATCAGAAGAATAATAAACAAGAGTTATGATCTTGTAAATAGCATTTGGGGCAGAAATTATCATGTCAATATATTGACTAAATAAATAATTGTGATCTCTAATGATAAATAAAACATAAACAAAGCAAATAAACAGATTCAGTTAACTATTTTCATACTGTCAGCAGTAACGATCTGTTATTCATTTGTTCAAATGGAAATTTAATTAGGCCTCCCCAAATGATTGAAAAATATAGTTTTCTCTTTGTCAATGCCAATTTAATTATACTTTTAAAAAGATAATAATAAGATCTTCTGTTTTAAAAAGTCCCCAACACTTAAGAGATTAATCTTGATGTCAGTGATTAATGAGAAAATAAACATTTAATTATTCTAATGAGCAATTTCAAAATACTATTAAAACTCTGAGCTGTCAGAATGCCACAATTTGCCTACCCAGATTGGTCCTACTCCTACTAGTGGTTGTGTCATGGCTTCCAGAATACAGACATAAAGAAATACACACCACATAAAATCAAAATAAGTTATTTTAAATCTTATATACTTTACTTTATATTTTACTTTAAAAATATTATTTTCTACTAAGAATATATACATATTTATAATATTTCTTGCTATTTTCTTTTTTAAAAAGTTACATAACCGAATGTTTATAAACATATTACATTTTACATTTCTTTTTTAAAACAGTTTGAAATTTTTCATAGTTGCATGATAAACTAGGTGAATCAAAAACACACAGGCAGTATAGCATAATTTAAAACATATTAACCTACCTTGCCAATAAAAACTACCGGGACCACCAAGAAGTACTCTGTCAGCCTAGATTGAATCAAACAACAAAAGTATATATATTTAAAACAAAGAGCACTAGAAACAGAAATCAATGTAATAAGCATAAAAAAATACTTATGTGTATTTATACCTATTAAAATAAAAGCCAATAATATTAAAATGTTCATATTCATCTAATTCGGTTTTAGTGATTTTTGTAACTTTTATTTAAAAAATTAAATATGAAAACATCATTAAATATCATTTAATGATATTTAATGCATGAAAATATGAAAACATTTTTTCTGTAGAACTCGGCTATTTTCCATGTTTTGAATAATGTATTAGCTCAAAGAATTATTGGGTTACAATAAAAAGTCACTTCTTAATACTATATATGAGATTTGTGACTTCATAAGGAAGTTTTTTTTAATATCAATGAAGAATTTTCTGCTAAAAGAATATTATTTTTAGTGTCTCACATCAGGTGTGAAGTTAGAAGGTAAATTTCTACAAATTATACTTGACTAGCACTTCTTATATCTATAGCAAACTGTAAAGCTTTAATTGGAAGTATTCTAAATTTGAGCACAGTATTTTAGAAATTTCTTCTTGCTGGAGGCAAGAAGAAATTTTTTTTATTCACTCCAAATGCACACATATTCCTTTCAGGCTCTCAACAACTCCATGCCCCAACTATATAAAAACGGTTCCAAATTGTTCAACTTAAAATATATGCTTTCTTCACAAATGGGTTTAAGAAAGCAAACAGTTAATTTAGCAATAACTTGTGCAGCATGAAAATACTTCTAGGGGAATAGTTGTATAGGCATAGGTATAGAAAACGTGGATTTTTAAAAAAAATAACTACTGGAGAAAATATATCTTGCAAGTTTAAGCCTAATGTTTATTAATATACTTTATTTCTGTTTGCCTTCCTTAAAGTTTGAATTATAACTAAAGTAATATGAAACTAAGTGAATTCAAAAATCAAGTACATAGTAAAGAGAGTTAGCAATAATTATTAGCATCTAGTTCAGAAAAAAATTTAATGAAATAAAGCAAATGTAAAATATAAGAAAATGCTTTATTAGTACTCCATCATCCCACGATTTTAATTTCAGTTTGTTTCATAAATTTATGGACTTTTCTTTGTTCACATTTTCCAAGAAAGCTATAAAGTAAGCTTTCCAAGGAAGCTCTACTCTTAATTAATCGATATATTTTTACAACTCTCTAAAAGGAATTACTATTTCAATTTGATCAACAAATTGTTTACATAACTCACAAATAAAGAATAAAATAAAAATTTATAAAGAAAAGTACTTGAGAAAAACTTTGAAAATATAAAAGAAAATTTTATTTTAGAAAAGAACATAAAAGCTAGCAACTCTGAAGGGCCTATTAGAGCCTTGGACATGAGATGTGCTACAATTAAGAAATCACATCAGCTTCCCTGGGTACCTATAGGCACATAAATGGCAAACATTGTGCTTCTTGGCTTTTGTATAATTGTGTAATAAAGTTTCCAATTGATAGTTTTGTGAAAAAAAATTTCAGTTGAAAACAGAAACTTTATTCTATAAGTTCATGTAAGTGGAATATTTAATATTAAGTCACAATAGTTACCTATCATTTACTGAGGAGATTCTTTACTTCCCTCCATTCTCATTGTCATGTCTATTTGATGCCTATTTCAAATAAGCAATGTTTACTAGGGAGGGAATAATATAAGGCAAGAATGTCAAAACGAATGGGTTGTTTTATTAGCTATTTCCATTAAGCAGGTAATAACTATAAAGACGCTGAAGTAATGACCAGTTTACTTTTAAGCACAGTTTATTGATAAGGTAGATCCGAATCTCATTCAGTTTTAAATAAGAACTTACTTTAGTAAAATCAATGCTGAATCCTCCTTGACAAAATCCCTGTCCATCAGCATCAATATTTTCTAAAATAAAAAGATTGGAAATATACACAAACCCAAAAACAAACAATATAAACAAAACATGAGAAAGTCTGATATCACCATAATTACAAGACAATGTGCTAGTTTCTGTGACTGGTCAATCATGCAGGCACTGAGCCATCATCCTATTCTGAAAAGGTTAGTATGCACGTTTATCAGCACCATTTCCTCAGATTTGGAAACAAGAGACACTGAATATCTGGACCAGTTTCTGGGTAACAGAAAGATCAACTACAAGTGTGAATTTCAAACTTCTTTGTTTTAACCACAACCCACAGCAAGATTATAGTTTATATGACAACACACTATACACTGTGTATAAAATAATGTTAAATATGTAATGCAAATAAAATTTCACAAAATAGGTGCTGGGATTGTGGCTCAGTGGCAGAGTGCTTGCCTTGTGCATGTGAGGCACTGGGTTTGACCCTCAGCACCACATCTACAACTAAAAAATTATTTTTAAAACTTTCACAAAATAATATTACTATTGTTACATATAATATATTCCAATATTTTCTACTTTGTATTTTATTTTACTTTTCAAAAAATTACTAGTTATGTCCCACTATATGTAAAACACAAATGAGTTTTCACCTGCAACTTAAAACCTGCCATCTGAAATCACTTTTTGTTCCTGTCACTCTACTCTTGCTAGGTCTTTGAGAAATTATGAATAACTTAGCAAAGACTGGGCTCAATGGCGCATGCCTATAATCCCAGAAGCTCAGGAGGCTGAGGAAGGAGGATCCTAAGTTCAAAATCAGCCTCAGCAACTTAGCGAGGCCCTAAGCAACTTAGTGAGACTCAGTCTCTAAAACAAAATACAAAAAAGACCTGGGGATGTGGCTCAGTGGTTAAGTGCCCCTGGGCTCAATCCCCAGTACCAAAAAAAATAAAAAATAACTTAGCAAAGAGATACATACATTCCTCGCACATACATTTCATATACATACATTTTATACTAACACTAAAAATAAAAGCTATATAAAGAAGATAGTTGAGAATTTCAGAAAAGGGCAAGGCCCAAACTTAAAACGTTCTATGAAGAACAAAATATGAAACTGTGCTCACAACATATTTAAAACTTTTTTGAACATCTTTAAACATGACATCTTCAAGTATTTCCCAACCAAAGTTGTTTTGCTCTTCTGCAGTTATCTTCCCCTTTTTGTAGTTCTCAGAAAAGAAACTAACTTTGAATTATATAATTAGCCAATTAATTTAAATTAACTTTAACCATGAGTAATACTCTACCAAGAATAGAAGCCAGGATGAATCTAAAGACTTTCTCCTTGATTTATTTATTTATTTATTTATTTCGTGGTGCTGGGGATTGAACCCAGGGCCTTGTGCATGTGAGGCAAGTACTCTACCAACTGAGCTATATCCCAGCCCTCCTTATTTTAAGGAGAGCAAGGAACAATGGAAAGCACCATCCTTCAATTATCAAAGAATTCTTGCAACCAATGTTACAAATATATAAAACTTATTACTGCATTAGCCACCCAAATATAGGAACCAAAAGTATATACATTTAGTCATAAGGATAACTCCAAAGAATTTTGTGTAAAATAATCCCATCAAAAATTTTGAATCCATTTCTAAACCTGGGAAGGGCCCCAAGATTACATACTGAATATCTAAATTTGAAATCTTTTTTTTAGAAAATGGCCACAAGAGTGTAATACTACCCTGATGTAAATTTTTCTAACCAAAAGAGAGTGGGAAAATGTGGGGCTGGGATTTCCAGTGTCTAGTGAATCATACCAAGGAATTCTGCTCTAACCTCAAGTTAGCCATTTATTTCCTTTATTCCAGCTGCATCTGGGGAACTATTTCAGGCTATTTATAAAGACATTCTTTTCTGATTATCATATGTACAACTCACTGCTTTGTTTTCCCAGAACATCCAGCTAAAACACATTACTGTTCCTTAAAATTGTCTTAACAGGTACCTATTGAATGGAGTGTTTCCAACAATTCAAAAACCTTCATGTTGAACATATTTCAATGAAGGCTTTGTTTTGTTTTATTACAGATAATTAATACTTCTCTCATTTGTTTCACCTTGCAATGATACTATAGGTATGAATATTATTGATTACAATAGTAGTAGTATCAGCTAGTGCTTACGAAGCTCTCACTGTGAGCCAGATATGATGTTAAAGCATTTTACATAGAATTTCCTTTTAAAATGTTTACAGCAATCCTAGAAGATATTATTCACAGTTTGTACAGATAAGGAAATTAATGTTTAGGGAAATTAAGTAACTTGACATGCTGAATCAGCTAGATCAAATAAAGAATTACAGATCTGAATCCAGGTGTGACTACACTACTATGTTCTACTATCTCAAATCAGCAATGTACTTAATATTCTCTAAGTACTGAAAAAATGGAAGGAACTGGAAATCCAAACTGGAAAAAAATCTATGTTCAAATAATATTATCATCAAAAATATTATCATCAAAGAACTCAGCTTTTGCATGGCATTGAAAGAGTATTTATTTACATCATGTGATTTGTGGCTCAGGCACGTCTAGAACAGATTGGACATCTGGTCTATTGAATAACACCAAGAATGGTCATAGATGCAGTTATGAAAAGCCGGAAGCAAATGTAATCAGTAACAAGGAAAACTGAGAGTAGATAGGGAAATTCCTAATCCAGACTGTCCACACAGGTCATGCTAACAACAAAACCAATCAACCAACCAAACCAAAACACAAATAGAAACAAACAAACAAACAGCAACAAAAAAAGCCCATAAACTAAATACAACCAAGACAAGCAAAGTTATCAAGAAGTTGGCAATATAGCCCTACAAAACCCACATCATCATGAAAAATAGAGAAGATTATATATATATAAACTGTACCTCTGCCATACTTTGTTGGAACTAGTGTTTTACCAATAAGAAAACAAGGGTCCAGATGGATTAAGTGAATAACCCATAGCTGTAGGTTAATTATTACCAGAATTTGAAATTATCAGTCAGGTTTTGAAGCTTTTAACTTTTGAGATTTTTCTCTGGATAAGCTGCCCCTCTTAATTTGAGCCTAAAGGCAGCTCAGCATTACAAAGTTTGGATCAAAGAATATGTACAACAATCAAGGGTAACTGATGCCAGGCCTGTTAGGAAAAAAATATTCACTTTGCTGTTGTGTTTATAAGATTGTTCTCCAAGCTTTTCCTAAGATTTGAGGTTTTATTATTTAGGTCAGAGTTCAGTAAACTTTTTCTATAAAGAACCAGATAATAAATATTTTAGATTTAGGGGCCATACAGTGTGGCAACCATGGAAATACTCAACTTTCCCAGATAATATGTCAACGAATGTGTGTTGCTCTATTCCAATAAAACCTTATTTACAAAAACGGCCACAAGCCATAGTTCCCCAATCAGATTTAGATGTTAAATACCTTAGAAAACAAGGTTTTGAATTACTTTATAATTTCTATGCCTAAACCAAATAATAAAAGCATTATGCGACAGATCCACAAGGAATCATTAGGATGCACATTTTCAGGAGGTTTCTGTTTACTGTCTCATTTAGGGAATTATCCAGACCTATTCTCTTGAAAGACACAGGATGTATTCCTTGCAGAAAAGCTGTGTTTTAAACCAAAGCAACTGAAATAGAAAGCATTTTCTGTTTTTAGTAATGCAGGAGAAAGGTTCCTTTGGAACAAGACAGACCCAAGAGGCTGTGGGTACAGCTCAGTGGTACAGTTAGTTTGTGCTTAGTGAACATGAGACCCTGGGTTGAAGCCCCAGCATCAAAAAGAGAAAAAAAAAAAAAGGCAGCTCTTAGTTCAAATCCTCATTTGACCACTCAGTACCCATAAGAAGTGAAATTTTTTTTTCAAGTGTCTGAATCTGTTTCTACATTTCTCAAATGAGAATAGAGTGTTTGTATGTGTGTTGTATAATTGATAAATTATATTCTGGCATACAATAGTTTGCTTCTTCCTCGTGGCTATAAAATTATCCTCTCAGAGTAAGAACATTTTTGCAATACAGAAATTACAAATTTACTCCTCAGATTTTCTCTACACTACCAAAAATAACAGTACCATGAACAAAAAAAACAACACAAAAACCCACAGGACAGACGGCACAAAGCTCTGAGGATGAAGCTTCTGAATCCCTCCATCCTGTATAGGGTGCTCTGGGACCTAATTTTTACTCACACATTAAATGGATAGGGGACAACATTCTTTTGATGTTTACTTTCCACTTAACAATAGGAAGAATCAAGGTGGTGGGCTAAAAAATAAGTGTTTAATGAAATAATTTGCAGTTTTCTGGAGATTCAACTACTTAGAATTTTGGGGACCAAATAGTTCCTTAGACCTGGTGCCACATGTTGCTTTACGTGGAGAAAAGGAATCTAGCATGAAAAGTCTTACAAGTTGAACTTTTGTTATGAATTCTCTCTATTCAACTATTTGGTGACCAGAGGGACATAAAAAGAAATAACTTAAGGGCTAGGGTTACACCTCAGTGGTAGAGCGCTTGCCTAGCATGTGTGAGGTACTGGGTTCAATCCTCAGCAAATCAAAAAGTTACAACCAGGAGATGTGATTTAGCTGGCAAGAAAAAGAGATTTGACATACTATATTCAAACATTTATAGCTCAGTACCCCACTATTGAGAAAGTTGTGCTCAATGTGCCAGGAACCAAAAATAAATATAATAAATAAATGTATTATGAAAAAAAGAAAGAAAGAAAGAAAAGAGAAGAAAAAGAACTAACTTAAAAAGGGCTCCAGGTAAAAACACCACACAGCAGTCTACTTTTCTTGACATGGTTTTGCCTCCCACAGATTCAGTTACCCTAAGTCAATCACTGTCTGAAAATATTAAGAGGGAAATTCCAGAAATAAACAATTTATAAATTTTAAATATATATTTAATCATAGGATATTATTATACTATTCTATATTATTAGTAGTTAGTTATTATTGTTAATTTCTTAGTGTGCCTAATTTATAAGTTAAATTTTATCATAGGTATGTATGAAAAACATAGTAGCACAGAGGATTCCATTCTGTTTTTGAACATTCATGGGAAATCCTGCAATTAATCTTCCACAGACTAGGCATTTTCATCCTCTATTTTTATGTTTCTTGAATAAACAAGATTTAGAATAGCAGTTAATTGAACAAAAGGCAGGGGTGCAAAAAGACTGGAATCTCTAAGGGGAAAAAGATGTGCAGAGTTTGGAAAAGCATAATCAAATGTATAAGAGCTTGAAATCATGGTTAGTCACAACATTAATTTCATTTAAAATTTCAATTAATATTGGTGAAAAGCATGAAACTTTTATATCACCTGTTTAGTAGCTAATTTACCTAGAAACTCCAAGTAAGGATTAAGAATTTAGACTTAAGACTCCTAAACTATATAATCTGGCTCTTTAAGACATATTTTTCCCATCATTATTCATGTAAAGCAAAGGTTCTCACACTTTGGTATACATCAAAATTACCCTGTAAAGCTTATTAAAAATGCATGCACCTTGGCCTAACCTAGACCTACTGAATCAAAATCTTTAGTTGCAGGGTCCTTCATCTCTATTAAAGAAGCTCAACTGAGCACTTTTTGACATATCATGATTGAATTCAAGAGTTACAAAGTCAGATATTCATTACTAACAAAGGAAGGTGAAAGGAGTTCTTACAAACAATAAGCTTATTTACTTCATATTTGCAGTTGCTCTCATTAATATGATGCTTTCATTTTCCTCTCATAACCTGCATGTTTTATCACACATACATACACACCCACACTCACACACTGATTTTTAACAAACTAGGCTCCTGCCCCTCTTGTTAAAGGCTGGTACAATTTCCCGTACATACTTGACCTGCATGGAGCATACTCAACAGTCTTTGTTCCATCTTGAAGAAAGCAAGTTCCAACAGGCTCTCTCTCCTGTTTCAGCTCAGTCCTCCAGTGGTACAAGGGAGCACAGGCCTGAAACCAAAGGTTCAGTCCATGATACAAAAAGTCTCCAAAAAATTATAATATCACTTTCTAAACCTTAATAAAAATTAAGCCAAGCACAGTGGTGCATGCCTATAATCCCAGTGACTTGGGAGGCTGAGAAAAGAGGATCACAAGATCAAGGCCAGCCTGGGTGACTTAGCAAGATTCTGATTGAGAATAAAATAAAAAGTGCTGGGGATATAGCTAAGTGGTTCAATCCCACTACTATTAAAAATTTTTTTAATTAAAATTAAGATTAATCAATTTATCCTATCATAGTAGTAGATAATAATTTTTAAAGTAATATTTTTCTCATTTACTTCTGAAAGCCAATTTATGGTCCAAATATGTGTATTCAAAATAGTTAGAAAAGATATTATTTCATATTTCTTTTATTTATTTATTTATTTTTATTTTTTGGTACTGGAGATTAAACCTAGGGGCACTTAACCACTGACCCACATTCCCAGTCGTTTTTTTATTTTGAGACAGGGTGTCACTAAGTTTCATAGGGCCTCACTAAGTTGCTGATGCTGGACTCTAATTTGTAATCCTCCTATCTCACCCTCCTAAGCCATTGGGATTACAGGTGTGAATCACCAAGCCCTGCAGTAACATATTTCTTGATGCTATGTGTTAATAAGCTGAAGGTCACAGACCAAATCAACTTTTGAACTCAGTAACACTCAGTGTATTTAGGATACACCCCTAAATTATACAGTAAATAGTTTACTGAGTAATTAGAATTTGCAGTGCTTATTTATTTTCCAAGTAAAACATGAAATTTTTGTTTTCAGAATTCTAATTTCAATGTCATGTAGAAGCCATAAAATAGCGCACATCTACAAAAAGCATTGACAATTCAATTTACTGAAAAAGTGTAATGGATTTCTATAATACTCCTTGAAGAAAAGTGCTAACGTAAATACTTCAGACTTCAACACTAGGCTATTTTATATCCACCCTGATAAAACTGTAAGTACGAATTTTTACTTCTGCACATGTGACGCTCTAGAGTAGCTGATTTGCTCCTCCTGCTTCTTTTTTGCTTCCTTGCTCTTCTTTCTGCCTAACATGCCCCCCTTCTCAAGCCCATCCTTCATCTCAAATTGTTAAAGTCTTTATAAAAATTCTCCTCTTGAATAAATTTTTCCCAAAATTCATTGTCACTTGAAAAACAAAAGACAGTAATAAATACTAAGCAGGTAATTAAAATAGGGGAGGACTCTCCAAAGAAATGATATTAAAGCTGAAGTATGAATAATAAAGAGTTGATTTTGAAAATCAACAAGATGACTGTTATAAGCAGAGGACACACAAACACTAAGGTACAAACAGAAATGACTCTATATATGGAATAAATGGACAGAAAGACTAGTGTGACCGAAGTATGAAGATGGACTGAGAAGATGCCAAAGAGAAAGGCTAAAACCCAATTTGGGGGATGCTGATAAGCCAGGACAAGTTTCTGACATTCATTCAGAGAGTAACAGAAAGTGCTGGACTGTTTTCACCATAGGGAAAGACTCCGTTTCCCTTCAGTCCTTCTATGTAGAGTAGCAGTAGTTGGGGCAACAAGGTAGCAGAGGGACAAGAAGAGCTAGTGCTCAGGCTCAGGTGAGAGTGGTGACGGCTCACTACAGGGCAACAGTGATGAAGATGAAGATCTCCTGATGGGTGTGGGATACATTCTGAAGGCAGAATTGATAGGGTTCCCTGGTGGATGGGAGAGCCATGCTTCTCAATTGCCAGGAAGATTTGTATAGGAATAGATAAGTTTGTGTGCTTCTTTATGCTTTTTGATGAAGGGTAACAGGAGTCCTATTTGCACTATTTTCATTTTCAACAATCTATTAGACATCCAAAAGGAAATGCCAAATAGATAGCTAGGAAATGTGCTTTTAAAAGTCTATGGAGAAGCAGGGTGTGGTGGAACTCTCTCACCTGTAATCCCAGCAGCTGGGGAGGCTGAGACAGGAGGATCTCCAGTTCAAAGCCAGCCTCAGCAACAGTGAGATGCTAAACAATTCAGTGAGACTCTGTCTCTAAATAAAATACAAAATAGGGCCAGGGATGTGGCCAGTGGCCAAGTGCCCCTCAGCTCAATCCTCAGGACAAAATAAATAAATAAATAATCTAGAGAGAACTAAGAGCCAGAGATACAGATTTGAAGGTTGTAACATACAGTTTGTATTTACAGACATGGTTCAGGATAGGAGCCCCTAGGTAAAAGGTATGAGAAAAGAACAGGGTCTGGAATAGAGCTTAAGGACACCTCATCATTTAGGAACTGAGTAGAAGAGGATCCATGAAAAGAAAATGCAAAGGAGCAGCCAGTAAGAAGAAAAATCAGGAAAGCATGGTGTCACAGAAATCAAGGGAAGAAATGTATTTTTAAAAGGTGGGAAGTAGGGGCAGTGACCATGTCAAATGGTGCTGAGGGGCAAGAAAGATAGAAGTACAACTGGTGGTGGGGGGGGGGGGATATATTATATATATAATATATATATTGTATATTATATATATTATATTACTATATATTATTTTATATATCTCATGGAGATATATATTATATATATATATATATATATATATATATATATATATATATATATATCTCGTGGACACATATACGAAATGATGTACCAGTGGATTTCAGTGATCTGACAGTTAATGAATGGTGAACTCAGCCTTGCCTACCGCCAGGAGTGACTGAGAAGAGAACGAGAGGTGCAGAAGTGGAGACAGTTAATGGAGAAACCACTCTCCATGAGAAGAGATGCAGAGAAATGGGGCAGAGGCACAGGGGAAGATGGGGGAAGTAAAGGGAAAACTGTTTGCTATATTTTTAAAAAGAAGGAGCACTAGAGCTCTCTTAATCACAGGTATGCTACTCCTAAATTTGAGTGGATAGAAATAAACTGATGGGAGCTATCAAGTAGGGCATGAAAAACGAATAATACAGAAACAAGGGTAGAAAAATCAGGAGCATGGTATCCTCAGAGGAGCAGCCTTTGATCACAGCTACCTTATTTCACTGCATTCTGTGTGCTTGACAATGCTGAATTTCACCATGAGCTTGAAACCATCACCCTTGCTATCCATCTCCACATAAATTGACACAACTCACCTGAAAAGAAATATCACAAAGACTTACCAAAATTTTATCCTGTTTTGACCTCACAGATGCTCCAAACCACTGGTGCGATTTAAACTCCAATGGATCATCCTTGGCATAATCTCTGTTGCCTAAAATAACAGAATATTGCAAGAGATAAAAAAAACTAAATATATTGGTCTTAGTATAAGAAAGTTTATTTCTGTACAGCCAGGTTAGGAATGTTGTACCTTTGTTTAGTCAAATACTATATTCAGTAACCCAGAAGAACAAGATCCAGGGTTGCTCTGAACCCCAGAAAATATCCTAATTCACATGTGAAAAGTAATTGTAAATGAGATTTCCCAGTTACTAAATCATTACATAACTATACAACAAAAACTGTGAACACTTATTATACTGCCAAAAGTTTTTTCTATGGCTTAAGGATATGTATGAAAAATCAAAGCTTATGAAACTCTTTTGTATGACACAGTTTGTAAATGACAAGGCTAAGATGAACACCAACGACAATATGAATCAAAAAGTTACACCAGGAAATGCAATTTAGCTGGCAGGAAACAGAGATCTGACATATTATATTCAAGCGTTTATATTTAAGTACCTCACTATTGAGAAAGTTATGCCCAGTGTGCCAGGAACTAATAACATAAAGCACTGTGGAAGTATATAAATCCTTTCCTCAGAAAAACCCTAGATCTAGTCAAGGAAAAAGTTATGAAAGTTTATGCACAAAGTATTCTGAGAAGAGACTATTTTTAAAGTCAGGTTTGTTCCTCTTAAATCTGTTGTCATAATTCTTTATTAATGTGTGTTTAAATAACTATATTGGACATTTCAGCAGACAAATATCAATTTTAAGAATGCCAGGCAACATGTAAATGTCATCAAGAGGTTTAGCACAACCATCACCCACCCAAGATAGTGAAATTACTCACTAGTGGTTACGTTTGTAACTTCTCTAACCACCATAGAACTAATAGTAGTTATGGTTATTCAATTCTATTCTGAAGACTTAAGACTAAAGAGTTGTAAATAATTAATGAGAATTTCAATAATACCAGGTATCCTATGTAAGGTGGAACCTCTAATGTTATTCACTATATTATTCTTTTAGCTTTTTCCTCTTCTGAAAAAGAAAGGTGTCAGTCGCCAAAGGTCTCAAACTGGAATCTAAATTACCAAGTTTTTTGGTCAGGGATAGCGAAGGCACCCTTTTTTAAGCTTAAAGAAGGAAGAGAAGAAATCGAAGTAGCTAATATGCACTATTGACCATGAAAACCGAGTGTTCCCTTGGCTTGCCTCTGAAGCCTGCACTCATGGTGCGTGAAATAACACACAAGTAACCTATATACCACCCGAGAGTACATGTGCTCCCTTACATTTCCCATCTTCCCACAGTTTAATTCAGAACATTTAACTGTGTTGTCCCTAAGCTAGGAGAAGATAAAGCAGTTCCAGACAGTAAAGAGTGGATGAGTTCTCTATGTTTTCTCTCCCATCCATGAGGCTCTTAGACGAACTGCTAGATGGAAGCATCCTTGGTCCAAGTCTTTGGGTCATCCAGGACCCCTGTTCGATGGGGACATGAACAAGAAATAATCTCCTTCCTTTTTTTCTTTTTCAGTACTGAGGATAAAAACCAGTGTCTCAAGCATACCAAGCAAGTACTCCACCACTGAGCTACATCCCAGCCTTTTTTGTATTTTATTTTATTTTGAGACAGGATCTTGCTAAGTTGCTGAGCTGGTCTTGAACATGTGATTCTCCTTCCTCAATCTCCCAAGTAACTAGGGTTACAGGTGTATGCCACTACATGTGGCTAAGAAATAAATGACTTATTTTTAAGTAACAGACTTGGTGCTATGTTTGTAATTGCAACATGTTTTCACTGAAGTATAGCCTAGCACAGACTGTGTAGTGTGTACTAGACACATAATGCTATTTCCAACAGAGCCTGAATAATAACCACAAAGAAACATAGCCCTTAAAAGAACCAGATTCAATTGATAATGTTTTAAAAATTTTAATCAAATATTCACACTTATAGGGACTGGGGATTTAGCTCAGTTGGTAGAGCACTTGCCTCACATGCACAAGATCCTAGGTTCAATCCCCAGCACCACACACACACACACACACACACACACACAGAATTCTGTTTTTTAAAAAAATTTATAATTACCAGTTACTTAATGGGAATTTTTTGTTTATTCCAACACAAGATAACTATATTCTCTCACTTTGTTGTAGGCTTTCTATTCTTTTCTGTTTCTATTTTATTCTATTCTATTCAAGAAATAAGAGTATTTCCCCTTCACATCAATGAAGCAGGAGAAACAGAGTATGACTGTGAAAAAAACAGCTGACCTTAGAAAGAGTCCCCTCCACTAACTTGTATCTGAAGACAAAAAGCAACTCCATAAACTAAGGAAATCACAGCAAGTTTAAAAAGGGAACTGAGTTTCTAAGTTAGTGTACTTGAACCACAAGTAATATTCTTACAATTGCCACCTCCTGCTTTTGCTTTTATTTAAAACACAGCCTTTTCAACAATATGAAACTCCTAAGATGTCCAAGCAGAAGTAAGACTTTTTTAAGAGTAGAAGAAATCATAGGTTGAACAGAACTGTCACATCAAAGAGGTTCAAACTAAGGCTCCATATATTTTCTTAAACTCTAAAATTTCCAAGGTTAAAAAAAAATGTACAATGGGATAGACCCAATATCACTACAAGATAACTATGTGTGAGAGCACACATATATCTTTTTCCCCTTAATAATATGTCAGAAATGATAAACTGATGTCATCATTTTCACTGTGGTTTAGTAACCCATTACACAGCCATACAATAGTTTAACCAATCCCCTGTACCTCCTTCTGTTTCAAATTTGGGGATATTTCTGTTTTGATTTAAGAGAACAATATTCTCTCAAGTCACATCTACATCGTCCTCCATTTTACACAAGACCCTCAGCAAAGCATGTCATTCAGGGCAGGCATAGATTCATTGCTAGATTAAAGTGATAAGCTCCCCAAGAATATGGCATGTCAAACAGAATAGTGGATACATTTCTGTTAAGTTTCCAAAGTAAGTTTACTTTTATATGTAAGAGTTCCCTTCTTCTCAGTCTGCAATCTGAAAGAAGTCATGCTCAGTCTTTTTTCAGAGGCCTTTTTCTCTTGCCTGGAAAACTTTATTCCTTCCATTCTAGATTCAAAGCGTACCTGGAAATTTAGCTGTGAGTGTCCACTTGTGACCTCAATGCATGAAGAAATGGGCGTCTACCTCTCAATGTGTCTATCACAAGACACAATCATGGAACCTGCAATTATAGTGGACAAACTGTAGACTAGGGATGTGTCAGGAGTTATGGGGAAAGGGAACAGAGCATAAAGGAGAAAAATGCTTTGTAGGCCCGAAAACTTCATGCAAAGAAAGGAAGAGTGGTAAATACTGAAGTCTTATAGAGAAGTGTGCATTGTTCATTGTGATTAGAAAGAAATACCTAAAGAAGTCGTTGTCAAGGGCATCTGTGCTATGCTAAGAAGAGGCTTCATGGGATTTTTGAGTGGCCTCTATGCTAAACAATATTTCTTCAATTATTATATCACTAAAAAGTTGGGCAGAAGTTCCTGCTTTGCAAATAATTATTTAATTATTTCCCTACCACTTTGAAAAACTGTCTTCATAAATATTTTTCTGAACAAATATACTTTTCTCTCAATGTGTATGTAGTGGCTGGCACAAGATGCTGTTGTGCCTTGTCAAGTAGTTTGTCCTCGTCAGAGGTACCATGCTCTATCTTCGGTTTTTAAAAGAGATGGTTAGAAAACATCCCTTGCTATAATGATTATTGGACACCTGTCTTTGAAGATATCAGGCTTAGTATAAGCTAGAAAATGTCATAAAAAATAAGAATAAATTTTATAATTATATTTTTGCTTTTATATGCATTCACAAGTATTAAGGAACAAAAAGAATCAATAGTTATTTATATGTGGTAATTAATAAAAATGAAGGCACACAGAGGTGAAAAAGCATCAGACAATGTGACTCTCTTTGATGAAAAAGTAAGTTTAGCCAGGCGTGGTAGCATACACCTATAATCCCAGTGGCTCGGGAAGCTAAGGCAAGAGGATTTTGAGTTCAAAGCAAGACCCTGTGTCAAAATAAAATATTTTAAAAAGGAGTTGGGGATGTGGCTCAGTAGTTAAGTGTCCCTGGGTTCAATTCCTAGTACCAAAACAAAACCAAAAACAAACAACAACAACAAAAGAAGTAACTTTTTAAAAAAAGCATTGGGACTGGAGTTGTGGCTCAGTGGTAGAACACTTACCTAGCAGGTATGAGGCACTGGGTTCAATCCTCAGCACCACATAAAATAAATAAAGGTATTGTGTCCACCTACAACTAAAAAAATTTTTTAAAAAGCAAAGCATCACACAATGTGACTCTTTTTGACAAAAATGTAAGTTTAAAAAGCTCATTCCAATAAGTGTACCATGTCCCAAGTTCCATCTGTAGCACCATGGTGGGCAGGGATGAATTTCAAAAGTAAACTTGAGGAGTTTGACTAAAACTTAAATCTGCTCAAAACCAACAGCCATATTTCAAAGCACCGTGTAATTAAATATGTTTTCAATTACATTACCAAATGAAAGAAGCCAAACATAACTGGATATAATGCATTAGCGTGTATTAGCACCCAAATTTATTCAACAGTCTTCAAAAACGAAAAAAAAATACACACACACACACACACACACACACAGTTTTCAATGCCTCCAGATTCAACAGTCACAGCCTCAAATTAACATCTTTTCATGAAGTGCTCAAAAGGAAGTTTTCTTTATTAACCAGAATTTTTTTTTCAGATATCTTCAAATATTTGATTCAACATCAGCAGAAGTTTCCCTCAAAGGACGTATGAACAGAATGGATGGGAGAATGAAAAGGAAAAGCTCTCTCCAAACAAACTGACAAGAAGTTCATTCATGACCTGCCTGAAAACTGGCAGCTATTCTGGGACACATGAGTGAAGTCAATATTTTGAGTCAGCCCTGAGGTCACCATTTTGGGTGATGTTGGAACTCCCCAGACTGCCTGGAGTGTGCCACCGCCCTGGA